TTGAATTTTAAATTCTGACAAAGAACATCAGGACAGGTAGTACCATCAGCCTCTGAAATGTAAATACACCATTCCTCAGCTTAAACTATTTGTATATTATATTGTATGAGACCGCCGTCAATGTAGTATTCCCACGTTTCTATGTAATTACAATAATACATTAGTAAGAATCCAATTCATAACATGATATGTAGACATGTTCTTTTTATATAAGCTAAGGCTATTAAATCTTATCAAATAATTTGTTTTCAAACGTCAGACACATCTGATAGCAATAAAACTCATGATTCGATAATATAAAGGATTAATCTGGTTTGGAACCGTCATATTTATGTTTTCAAAATAAGATCATCTGCCTTTGCAAACTATACCGAGCTAAGGGATGTTGTTAAATTTGAAACATACCTAAGTTATTATTATCTGAAGAATATCGAAGACAAATAATTAAATGCTGAATTCGTTTTTACAAATAAGTAATACAGTTCTTTTTCGGCTTACCTAAGCCTTCGGAGCTGGCTTTACATCTGGGACAACTACAGCTGCTGCTACAGCAGTCTGTAACAGTACAGTCGCAGCTCCCCTCCGAACACTTGGCACACAAATTAGCTGAAGGGAAAAGTAACTTTTTACATACTTCATTTACCAGTGAATATTTACATCATCTCTTCTCTCTCTAGTTTATCACTAATATGAAATATCTCAATTTGTATTTTTAAAATTTTGTAATTTATTTAAATTCTGAAACAGAAAATCCGTTGGTCTTACCTCCAAAAAGGATAGGTTTGAGGTAGACTTGCTAGGAAATTATTAAATGGTTTTATTAGAAATACCATAGAAAATCCATAGAATCATACTCTTAACTCACATTTAGTACAATTACGCCAAACAGAACAAATGAAAGATTGACACGCATTCATACATAATGTTTTGTAATTATCTTTTATGACAAAATTGGTATTCTTTACACCTTTAAATCTAGTTTGACAAAATGTTCGAATTGGTGTTTTAATCGTCAATGTGTTATTGTATGAGGAATCTCGTTTGAATGTATGTTCATATTTGAATATCACTTCTAAAGGTTCCATGTTAATATATTTGAAACTGAGACAAAAAGAAGTTGAAATCACATGTTATTTCCTGTGCCAGTGCTAGATAGTTCCAAAATTGGCAGTTTTTAGGGAACAAACTTTAGAATTTAAATATCGGCTTCATCATCTGATAGCAAATTGTTGATCAAAATTAACTTACCTTCAGTCTTGCACATTTCGCAGTCTGTGTTGAAATCCTCTTGAAATGAGTTGATATAATCAAATCTTCAGCGTTAAACCAACTTTAAAATGTGACTCCTTTTATAGGCCTTGAGATTTTGGTGTGCAAACTTTTATCATAGAAAGGGTGACGTTCGCAAAACCAGTGCCGTATGCAAATTAAACAATTCACACGGCACGGGTTCCACACGACATATTTTGGATATCATCAGCTTAGCATATCTTTGTTGCTAAGTGATAAGCCAATCCAGTGTTTAGACATGCTGCTTACAATTATTACGTGAACCATGAATTCCAGTCTGTTTGATTTTGATAAACGATGTTCACAAAGTCATGTACACTAGGTGGAACGATCAACAAGCAACACAACAACGTAAATATTGTAAATGTAGACATTCGAGTAATTGTGTCGGCGATCTGAGGGTAGTACCAAATTGTTTACATGTATTAATAAAACGTGATCATGTTAAAAATTTTATTCATGTGTGTAATAGTTCGGGTTTGTATTATTGCTACGTTGAAACGTATTTTTATGGTTAACATGATATATAAACTGCGTTGTAAGTGACTAATCTATAGAGGTAAAAGCAAAAGGACAAACATTTTTTTATATGAAAGAAGTGTATATATCCATGTGTAAGAAACATTACATTTTGTACATTGAAGATTGTACAGGCTCGTGTGCAGTGAAGGTTGTATGGATCTGTGTGCAGTGGGAATGAGAATTTTATAAATCCGTGTGCAGTGAGGGTTGTACAGGCTCGTGTGCAGTGAGGGTTGTATGGATCTGTGTGCAGTGGGATTGAGAATTTTATATATCCGTGAGCAGTGAGGGTATTATAGATCTGTGTGCAGTGGGAGAATGAATTGTATAGATCCGTGTACATGACTGTTCAGATCTGGGTGTTCTCGGTGTCGTTATGGTATCGTGTGTTTCGGTAGTTACTTCAAGAACGTATGCACATAACGCACCATGAGACATCAAATATATATGGTGAAAACGATATATATCAAACTGATTTATATATTCACAAAAATGGTTTTGAGATTAGATCAGACTGTCTAACATAAATTGTTGGAGTGATGACCTATTTCTCTATCAAAATATTGTTTATCAAATATACCGTTCTACAGCAAAATTATCCTGTTAACTTAAGAAATGTTTTTTTAACATTCATTATGTTATAATAAATATAAATATAAACTTTATTTGTTTTACAACAATTGCGAAACAAGTTATTTAAACTTATACTAATCATTCTTGTTGGCCCGGATGTAAGCGCGCGAGGGGCCTTATTGTGGGAGGAAACCGGAGTACCCGGGGAAAACCCACGCGGTCGGACAGGTGACCCCTTACCTTTTCACGTCCGTTCCGGGAATCGAACCCCGGTCGGCTAGGTGAAAGGCGAGTGCGTTAACACTGCGCCACCCGACCACCCATATGTTATAATAACATTGAGTTTCTAGACATATATATTATCCATTGCAAACGCGATCTTATAATGTTGAAAAAATACAAATACATAAATTATATTTACTTTATGATATACTTAAAATGTATTGTAGGACCTAACCAATTCACACACACGGCATGTATTACGTTTGTACGTTAGAGGCACGCCACAGGGCATTACGTAGGAAGGTCATATTAACTGTCATGAGAACACTACAATATAGTTCTTCAAGAACATTTAATTGTGTGAAAATTATTCGTTGCCGCTTTACTCGATTATCAAACATCTATACAAAATATACAATATTCATTCCACTTTGATTATTTCCAATCAAAACAGAAATGAAAAGAATATGATGTATCGATTCAGAAGATAAATCGGTTTACTACACAGTGCAGCTGCTGTGATCAGGTCACTATTGTGATGCGAAAAATGACTTCATTATTTCTAATGCTTTCGGTCATACAAATGTAAATATTTTTAATGATACCATTACATAAATTATATAATGTAACCACATGTATTGATACCTTGTGGAACTTGGCTAAAGGTGGACATTGTTTCATGACTTTCTGATCTGACATACATTGTGACATCATTAAGAGATGAATGTGAAGTTGGAATATCGGTAATATATATTTTCTTTGACGGTCAGTCTAAAGAAAATGTTGTTTTAACCAATACTCGTAAAAGTATCCAATTGATGTGATAAGCGCGGAATCTAAAATTTATTTCCATTACACATACTAAAACCCGTCACAATTTTTTTTTTCATTTAACCCCTGTAGAGGCCCTGTATCGATGTGATATGGAATATATTTAACCTAAACGTTCGTGACATATCAAATAACTGAACTCATTTGATAAATTCCATTTACAACGAGACCTACATCGCAAAGTCTAGTTCCATTTTAAAGGAATGTTGTTATCAACGAGGTCAGGGGAAATATACAACAATAAACCATCGTTTGCGATAGATGATGTATATCTCTACAAATTCAATGTTATTATGACATTATGAATGTTAAAAAAGGCATTTCTTAAGTTAACAGGATATTTTTGCTCTAGAACGGTATCTTTAATAAGCAACATTGTGATAGCGAAATAGGTCACTACTCCAACCATTCACATTAAATAGTTTGATCTAATCTCAAAACTATTTTCGTGAATTTATAAACCAGTTTGATATATATTATTTTCACCATATACATTTGATGTTTCATGCTACGTTATGTGCACATGATGCTATAACGACAACGAGAACACCCAGATCTGAGCAGTCATGTACACGGATCTATACAAGTCATACTCCAACTGCAAACGGACTCATACACCCCTCACTGCTCACGGTTTTATAAAATTCTCAATCCCACTGCACACAGATCTATACAACACTCACTGCTCACGGATTTATAAAATTCTCAATCCCACTGCACACAGATCTATACAACACTCACTGCTCACGGATTTATAAAATTCTCAATCCCACTGCACACAGATCTATACAACACTCACTGCTCACGGATTTATAAAATTCTCAATCCCACTGCACACAGGTCCATACAGCCCTCACTGCACACGAGCCTGTACAATCTTCACTGCACACGATGTAACGTTTATTACACATGGATATGTACACTTCTTTTATACAAATAAACCTGTATGTCATATTATCAGTCTAATTCCTTTTGCTTTTACCTATATTAATTAGTCAATCACAACGTAGTTTATATACCATATGAACCATAAAAATACGTTTCAACGTAGCAATAATACAAACCCGAACTATTACACATAAGTTACATTATGAATATGATCACGTTTTATTGATACATGTAAATAATCTGGTACTACCCTCACATCGCCGACACAATTACTCGAATGTCTACATTTACAATATTTACGTTGTTGTGTTGCTTGTTGATCGTTCCACCTAGTGCACATGACTTGTGAACATCGTTTATCAAAATCAAATAGGCTGGAACTCATAGTTCACGTAATAATTGTAAGCAGCATGTCTAAACACTGGATTGGCTTATCAATTAGCAACAAAGATATGCTAAGTAGATGATATCCAAAAGATGTCGTGTGGAACCCGTGCCGTGTGAACTGTTTAATTTGCACACGGCACTGGCTTTGCGAACGTCACCCTTTCTATGATAAAAGTTTGCACACCAAAATCACAGGGCCTATAAAGGCGTGACATTTTACAGTTGGTTTAACGCCGAAGATTCGATCAATCAACTCATTTCAAGAGGATTTCAACACAGACTGCGAAATGTGCAAGACTGAAGGTAAGTAATTTTTGATCAACAATTTGCTATCAGATGATGAAGCCGATATTTAAATTCTAAAGTTTGTTCCCTAAAAACTGCCAATTTTGGAACTATCTAGCACTGGCACAGGAAATAACATGTGATTTCAACTTCTTTTTGTCTCAGTTTCAAATATATTAACATGGAACCTTTAGAAGTGACATTCAAATATGAACATACATTCAAACGAGATTCCTCATACAATAACACATTGACGATTAAAACACCAATTCGAACATTTTGTCAAACTAGATTTAAAGGTGTAAAGAATACCAATTTTGTCATAAAAGATAATTACAAAACATTATGTATGAATGCGTGTAAATCTTTCATTTGTTCTGTTTGGCGTAATTGTACTAAATGTGAGTTAGGAGTATGATTCTATGGATTTTCTATGGTATTTCTAAGTGAAATCAGAATAAAAACATTTAATAATTTCCTAGCAAGTCTAACTCAGACCTATCCTTTCGTGAATGTTATTATGTCTGGAGGTAAGACCAACGGATTTTCTGTTTCAGAATTTAAAATTACAAAGTTTTAAAAATACAAATTGAGATATTTCATATTAATGATTAACTATAGAGAAGAGATGATGTAAATATTCACTGGTAAATGAAGTATGTAAAATGTTGCTTTTCCCTTCAGCTGATTTGTGTGCCAAGTGTTCAGAGGGGAGCTGCGACTGTACTGTTACAGACTGCTGTAGCAGCAGCTGTAGTTGTCCCAGATGTAAAGCCAGCTCCGAAGGCTTAGGTAAGCCAAAAAAGAACTTTATTTCTTATTTGTAAAAACGAATTCAGCATTTAATTATTTGTCTTCGATATTCTTCAGATAATAATAACTTAGGTATGTTTCAAATTTAACAACATCCCTTAGCTCGTTATAGTTTGCAAATATTTTGAAAACATAAATATCATGGTTCCAAACCAGATTAATACTATATATTATCGAATCATGAGCTTTATTGCTATCAGATGTGTCTGACGTTTGAAAACAAATTATTTGTTAAGATTTAATAGCCTTAGCTTTAAAAATAGAACAGGTCTACATATCATGTTATGAATTGGATTCTAACAGATGTATTATTGTAATTACATAGAAACGTGGGAATACTACATTGACGGCTGTCTCTTACAATATAATATACAAATAGTTGAAGTTGAGGAATGTTGTATTTACATTTCAGCGGCTAAGGGTACTACCTGTCCTGATAATCTTTGTCAGAAATTAAAATTTAAACTAATTGAAATATTCCATATCAGTGATAAACTAGAGAGAAGTGAAATAATGTAAATGTTCACTGATAATTAAGTATGTAAAAAGTTGCTTTTCCCTTCAGCTAATTTGTGCGCCAAATGTTCGGAGGGGAGCTGCGACTGTTCTGCTACAGACTGCTGTAGCAGCAGCTGTAGTTGTCCCAGATGTAAAACCAGCTCCCAAGGCTTCGGTATGTCAAAATAGAACTTTATTATTATTTTTAAAATCGAATTTAGCATTTAATTCTTTGTCTTCGATATTTTTAAGATTTAAAAACCTTCGCTTATATGAAAAGAACAGGTCTACATATCATGTTATAAATTGCATTATCACTACTATATTGTTGTAATTACATAGAAACGTGGGAATACTACATTGACGGCGGTCTCTTACAATATAATATATAAATAGTTTAAATTGAGGTATAATGTATTTACATTTCAGCGGCTAAGGGTACTACCTGTCCTGATGGAATATGCCAACTTGGACGCGAGTGTGAGTGTGGCGACTCTTGTCAGTGCAGTGACGGATGTCAGTGTCCTCAATGTAAAGCCGGATGCAAAAATGCTGGTAGTGTGTCTCATTTGTTATGCACAATGACCTTTAATCAGAACGATCAATATAATAAGACAACATTTTTAATTGGGTCAAACAAGGATTTGATCGACCAATTAATTATTTTCTATAACAGCATACTTGCTATGTCAGAAAGTAGTTTTATTGGTTCACCTCTATTTTACTTTGCACTGTCTCCTTGTTTTATTCCTTCTAATGCAATCATTGTTATTATTCTGAAGTCAGCAGATTTTAGTGATCATGTTAAGGGCTTTTGAAACACGCACAACACAGGGTATTAAGAAATAGAGACCGGATAGTTCAATTCTTCATTTGCTGTTTGCTTCTACGTTATGGTGGTAAGCAATTTTGATAAAAGCTATATTTGTACATAAGAATTTACTCTTGTCAATGATGAAGCAGTTTTATAAACAGGCTACATTAACTAACGTAACTTACTTCTGCTGTAGCCGTGTACTGCGCCAAGTGTCCTGGAGGGAAGTGTGGTTGTACTGGTGCAGACTGTTGTACCAAAAACTGTAGATGCCCCGGATGTAAGAGCGGATGTGGATGCTTCCGTGAGTTGCTATATGACCTTAAGATATACAATTTCTTCATTTTAAAAGATGATTTTCGGTAGCATGGTTTATATTTGATAATAGTGTCTGAAGTTAATTCAATAACAATAAATATCTTATCCTTAATATAGATATTACGACAGTATTCAAATTTCTTTAAGTGTTTTTTCCATGTCATTATGATGCGAGGATGTTTTATCACTTGTATACCGCTTTGTATAGATTTTGTAAAATGGAAATTCAATCAAGTCATCAATCACTATTAAACAAGTTAATTTATGATAATGGTCCTTTTCATATAGCGAAGAAGGGTGCCATCTGCCCTGGTGGACAGTGTCAGGTCGGACGTGCGTGTGAGTGTGGAGATTCCTGCACGTGCAGTGACACTTGTGAATGCTCTGTCTGCAAGGCTGGCTGCAAGTGTGGAGGTAATGCTGTTTAATGGTAGTGTACACTTGTATTAAATGTTAATGCTATCTTCACATTAGAGATTTCCGTATCCGTTACATGACTAAGTAGCAGTAGGAACAGAAGGGATGGGACAGTTAATAGCATACTCCTTAGTTGTGTTGGATATTATTTGATAATGCGAGTAGTAGCATTGACAAAATGAGGGGTTTGCCACCTGTTGCATATAAGGATTTCGGGTAGATATATACAAAGACTCTTAGTTGTCAGTAGTCATAGTTTCAATCTCTCCCAAATGTATTCATTATAAAAATACATAAGTCGATCAAAGTGGTTTGCAAATGAAAATTTATTGAAGTCGGTTAGAAATCTTGGTTGTTCTACAGATAAGATATAGAGGTACCCCGTTGCACATGTCCACTGGTTGATATTTTAATGGGCGATAAAACTTACAAACATATCCAGTCGCTGATTCTATTCTTCTTACATCCCAGGTGCCAATGCTGTATGTTCTACGAACTGTCAATCAGGACAATGCTGTGGAACTAGTGCTTGTCAGTACAGGTGCAAGTCGGCTACAGGTAAGTGCTCTCTTTATATTAGACGCTACAATTTGAAAAAAACAAGTCTATTTCTATTTCAATGCCATGATTGATCGAAGTATATTCGATCATTAAGATTCCATTCAACGTTCTGCCAACATCTTATTTCCTTCTAACATATTATATTGATTATATCATGTTAAACAAAGACAATGTGACTAAGAATGGTTACGGTACGTGTAACGAAATTGCTGTCGATTATCAGAATTTTGTTAATATTTACCTCTTTCACAGCTGTGTTCTGTGCCAAATGTTCCGGAGGGAGGTGTGGTTGTACTGGTGTGGATTGTTGTACCAGCAAGTGTAGATGCCCCGGATGTAGAGTCAACTGTGGATGTTTCTGTAAGTTGTGACACCACTTAATTTCAATGATCATTTTGGTGAAAAGACTCTTCATACCCTCCTTTTTTGATAAGTCCATGATATCTTTCTGCAACTACGCCTTAATATCATTGGATATTTTATCAGAGGTATGATCGTTTATTATTGTAATTTTGACTGACTACAGTGTAATAATAAATATTAAATAATATTATTCTAATTCAGCTGCTAAGCGAGCTACTTGCCAGGATGGAGCTTGCCACAAAGGGCGTGCATGTAGGTGTGGCTGCAAGTGCAGTAGCGCATGCCAGTGTCCATCCTGCAAGGCTGGGTGCAAATGTGCAGGTAACATTGTTATATATTCATTTAGGTGTCTTAAAATCGGTATTTGTTCGTTTCTGTTTCATGAAAAACATAGGTAGTCTTGATAAAACACATATAAATCGTAATTTATAACAAAGTGTTCGACATACCTATGAAATGTGCCCCATGTTAATGTGTTTTAATATCCACTCTTTCAGGCTGCAATTTCGTGTGTTCTGCAGAGTGTGGATCTAGACAGTGTTGTGGAACAAGTGGATGTAAATGCAACGGCAAGTGCGCTTGCAAGAAGTGCAGATGCACCTGCGCATCTGGTAAGCATTTCAAATATTGCATGTCAATAAAAACAGAGTTTGTACTAAGTAAACTGGATAAGAGTTGTATTTTTAAGCTTTCCTGAAGATTTTAACAGCTGCACTACTACTTTAACTAAGTTATTTGGCTCATCATGTCAGTTTTTTCCACAGAAACGGTTTGTGTTTAGTTTGTTTATTGTTTTCCCCCTTCTTTTTTATTTATAGATATACATTTAAATTTAATAGAAAGATCGCAGTAGTTTCCACGACTTATATCGCCTGAAGATACACTGAACTGTAAATGATGATCCTCGGTATTTGCTTTTTTACTAAGCTGTAAATTAATCACTTAGACATAATAATTAAACCATATGTCTCATTTTAGGGAACTGCACTTGCGATAAAGGATGTACTGGACCCTGCACTTGTAGATGTGCTGCATGCTGCACATGTAAGCAGTAAGTGGTGACGTCATTGGATGGATAGTCCCACTGTTTCTCAGTTTCTGCGGACATCATTATCAACATTTACGTATTCAACGTGTTATTCAAAGAGTTTATTTGTATTTTAATGGAAAGTATATTAACTGGTGATTTCAATGTGATCGTTCGCTTACCAATTAATTGTATTCCCAATCATTGTCATATCTCAGAGTTTTGTTACTATAGACGGATTTAAATAAAATATGGCTTCTACTTTTTTCGGCGTTGATAATTTATGTATATGTTCTATAGTCACGATTATCTCCTAATCCTTTTTACAGTAAGATCTATAGTCTTTACATGTTTAGAAACGATTGAAAATAGGCGCCTTCCTTTTAGTTCCATTGTCTGCGTACAAACCGAGGACGTTATAAGTAAAGTCTTTATAATCAACCATACCAACATCAACAAACTGAGACATTGACGTGTAATCTGTAGTACCAGGTTATCTTCTCAATGGACACATTGACTGGTAACCTGTAGTACCAGGTTATCTTCTTAATGGACACATTGACTGGTAACATGTAGTACCAGGCTAGATATTAGACTAGTTACTTGCAGTACCAGAGTTGATACCCAGTGAAATTTCCATTTGAAAATTAAGAGGTGAATGCTAAATTGACTGAGAGAAAGATCAAAGTCTAAATGGGGAGGTGACTAGCCCAATAATCACATCAAGTTCATCATTTTCATATATCTGATAACGTAAGGTGTATACAGAAATTAAGTTACCTAATCTACTTTTACAACACTTGTTGGGTATTACGGAAATATTAAAACGACTCAATATTTACTTGACTGACCTCAATATGAACATCTGCATTGATCTGCTATATATGTGTAATAACTAGTCAATAGTCCTAAGAAATATTTTACAATAATTGTTAATCTAAATATTGTACCTATATTAATCAGATTTTTCCTGTCCGCATGGGGTCTTATTGTTTGAGAAAATCGAAGTGTCCTAAGGAAAACTTACGTGGTTCCCACACTTTCCATGTCATGTCGTGTATTCGAATCCTAGACGTTTACGTAAAATAAGCGTGTGTTGCCATTGCGCCATCCGATCATTCAAAGCATTTTTCACATGTTAATTGGAATATTTGAACTGTATCAATATGAAGAGAGACGCAATTGATACAGTGTTTCCTATTTCAAATCACATATATGATCTGGTGATATAATAAACAATACATTGACCATCGTATATACCCATCAAATTTATAAATCAATGAATAATGCTTAAGATTTTCCTCTTGTGAATTTTCTATTTACTGATATAAAATCCTTTGTTCCCCAATGGTGGTACATGTCAGAGCCAATCGATATTCAATGTCGTGTGGCATATACCACGATATTTGTGTAAGATGTCGACAACTGACAAATACACAACACCGGTTCCAACAGGTGCAGACTGTTCAAGATAGTAAGTCTCGCGGTCATTACAACGATTGCATTTCTTTTTTATTTACCTTGTTATCATTTTGGGAATGTGACATAACTTGTTCATCCGGAACACATGTTCTTATTCTCCATGGTGTTTTATAAATGTTTCCGTGCAAAACTTGCTTTTGTTCATGTTTTGCCATAGTGTCATCGAATTTGAGTTTGAATTAAAATTCTCTTGTCTGTTTCTTTTACGTTTCTGGACATACTTCGGTTGATGAAAATTTACAATTCGGATGTCATTGATAATTGTTTGATATTAAAATAACACTAAACTCGGGGTAACACTGCATGTAATAGTAATGGTGTAATTTGACACATTAGTCAAAAATAACGCGAACAGTTTCCTCTCTTATTTAGTTTATTGTCTACTTATAACTTACTGAGTAGGTAACAGTCAATTACAGGATCTTCAAGGAAATTAATAATAAATCAAAACACCATTTTTACATTGTTTCATATATATTGATAATTTTGCCTTGTATAATAGCATTTATTTGATGCAACACTGCTTCATGTCGCTTGGCGGTAGAAGAAATAGTTTACTCTATATTGAAATTCAGGTACATTCTTCTCTTGACATACTTGTGTAACTGGTTACCTCAGGGCAGTCACTCCTCGATAGTAATATTCTGATCATAAATATATAAATATAAAAAAAAATCAATCCCTTTGTTACTCTAGGGTTTTGATATCATTATATCGGATAGTAAAATCTACAGTGCTCTAATATATACTTTGTCATAGAAGGTCCAGACTAGCATTACACATTGATAATGCGTTTTTGTGTCTGTTGTATGAGCTTCAGCTAATCTCTTCGATAAGCATTAACCCATTGTAACTAGTTTTGATGTCTTTTATCATTTCGAGTGAAACTTCAGGTAAAGCAGCTTTAAAAATAACGGAAATTGTACCAGGGGCGCATTTGAATGTAGATGACTGCAACTTCACGGATATTTGCCATTATGCATTCTTCATATTGCAATTGATATCCTATGTTCATACCAGTTCACACAAGTAGCGTGACTGACTTTCGAAAGTGTTGATTCAATGGAGTTCAACAGCAATGAATTATTCAGTCTTACGACGGAAGAATAAGAACAATAAAAAGAAGATATTTACAAGAGATATATTTAGGTCACATCTAAGCAATATTGTCATATCCCATACATTATGTCTTGGAAAAACCTCAGCAACGGATTGATCATGTGGATATTTTTTTGAAGAATATATTAATAGCTTGATAGAAAACATGATGAACACTCGTATAAAAAGTCTACATATATCAAGAATATATCAAATAAATACTGCAAAAATAATTATTCACATAGATTACCTATAAATCTGAAATATGGCATTCTCAATCACAACAGAATGTTAAAATAACAAATAATGAATTTAAAATTCAGGCAGAATTGCTAGAAAACAATGCGACGCTCCATCCAGCAAGGTTTGAGGAGTATCAAAGACACCACCTCTTACTGCTAACACGTGCAGTCACTTGCTGTGACCGGGTCGTAAAGAGTTACTTCCCTGTGGTTATAAGATAACGTGTAGTTCAGAACGCATCATAACTCATCACAGTGCCGCCTTTATTTACAGCCAGTAAACAGAAAATAAGTCAACTGACTGATACTCTGTGGGTGTTTGTCTGCATTTAAGGTCAAATGACAAGTGTCATTCAAACTCAGCATCAGTTATGTTGTTTGCACTTTTCTCCAGAGTAACCAATGGCTTTATATTTTTTGACGTCAATATATTCATGATCAAAATATTACCATACAAGAGTGACCAGCTCTGAGGTAACCAGTCACACAACTATTTCAAGAGGAGAGAAATGCATCAGAAAAAAACCCGTTCTCTTCTAACTCCAACCGACATGAAGCAGTATTGCATCAAATAAATATTAATTGGAATGAGTTATCTCCTTAGCCCGTCCTATCAGACAGCAGGGTGTTAAAGGTCAGTTAAGGTAAACAAATAAATAATGATAATATACAAAGTCAAGTTATAAAAACATGATACAACGTAAAAATGGTGTTTTTAAAATTATAGCTTTCCTTGAAGATCCTGTAATTGACCGTTACCTACTCAGTTACTCGTTCACTATTGACTAAAATTTTAAAATAGATGATTGTCAAATTGGGTTCAGTCAAGTAAATATTGAATAAATATTGAATCCATGCGAAGTACTTTAACATATTTGTGATTGTGTTGTTTTAATATCTCAACCAAAGTTGTACAATAAATTAGGTAACTGAATTTCTGTATACACCTTAAGTTACCCGATATATATAAATTATGAACGTTATTGGACCAGTGCAACTCCCCATTTTTTAATTTTTATTTTTTATTTTTTTTTTAAATTTTGGAATAATATTTTTAACATCTACATACATTTATAAAGAAACATAGGACAATAACACTGCATTCTCATTATGATTCACACATACAGATACACGCTCTCTCACACGCACCTGCATACCATACTTGCACACTTATTAATATCCTTATTTAAGTAAGACGACTTCTTTTTAATTTTTTTACACTCGTATTACTCACACAGACATATTTGCATCAAGAAAAAATAAAGTAAGACAGAAAGAAGGTGAAAGGAAAAGATGTGAAGTTCATTTCATTTCTATATTTGCTAGTTTCCCACCCAAGTTTGATATTATAATTTCCTCTATATATAAAACCACAAGGTAAGAAAGAGCTTAAGTTGTGGAAAATATCTTTAAAGAGAGATGTGTAAAGAACTTTTATTAGATACATATTTGGCAAAACTGTCAGGCTTTAGTGTTTATTATTAGATATCAAGTTGAAAGAGGTTTCTCCACTTACTCAGGGTATTAGTAAATTTTGCTTTTGCAAGATCGTTTTGAGCATTTGATAGATACTTCTGTTTGTTGTAATAATCTTTTATGCTACTGGCCAATGCATCTATGTTTAAAGTTTTGTAAAGACATCTGGTTCTTTAAATAAACTGTTTAATGATAAAAATTATTATATTGTCAACTTTAGCATTACTACTATTATTTGTGATCCCGAAAAGGAAGGAGAGCTTATTCATTGAAAAAGGAATATAAAGTGCATTAAAAAGATTTTCAAACCTTTGTAATAAGTTTTGCACTTCCTGACAATTCCACATCAAATGAATTATCGTTTCTCTTTCGGAGTTACAGAGAGTGCACATAGGATTAACTACTATACCTAGTGTGAATAACTGGGAGTTTGTGGTAAGGATATGATGAGATATTCGATACTGAAGCCATTGAAGTTTCGTATTTTTCGTAACGATATGTGGAATTTTCGGTATTTTATACAATTCCTTTTCAGCGAATAATATTTGTCCTTGCCATTTTAATTGACCAGTGGCTGTAGTATCTGTTTTGTTAAACATGTTGTAAAAGATTTTGGGATCATTGATACTGTGAATACTCTGTATATTCTGAAGAAGGAATGGGTAAACAACTTGGAGGACATCTTAAGGTAAAGGGTCAGACAGAATTTGTTAAATACATATATTAGTTCTTGGACCAGTAGAAAATTTGTACGCAAGTGATATTTTTGTGAAAGTTCTTAACATGATAAGAAACAAATATTGTCTGAATCCTTTAGGAGATCAGCAATCGTATGTATTCCTGATCAATACCATCATTTGTAGAAAATAGGTTTACCTGCGACAGTTATGTCTTTATTATGCCAAATGCACTTTGTCAAGAATGATTTTCAAGCCTTCCTTACAATAATCCTGAACAACAATGTTTTTCTTCACTTTGTCAGTTTTACTATTCCATGAAAATTCAAATAATAGCATAGTAATTTCCTTTATCACCTTTTCACATGCATTTGATAGAGATATAAATAAGTGGTTAAATTAGGATGTCATCAATGACTTGATGATATGAATTTTACCCAAAGGCGTTAGTTTCCTTTTCTTCCATGTACTTATTAAACCTTTTCATTTTACAATTGTATTGCCAAAGCTTAGTTTAGGAATGTTGACCAAATTCATATCGAATTCAATTTCAAATAGTGTAAATTCAGTTTTTCCCCAATTAAGATTAAACTCTGGAAGCATGGTATCCTTACTATATTTCATACTTCCAATCCAAATTATTTCCGTTTTATCGACATTCATTTTTAAACCAGACATATATTAAAAAAATATGTTATTCTATTAAAGTTTAACAGAGAGATTTAACTGATCCATCTAATACCAGAAGAAAAGTGCCGTTTGCGTATTGGGATGTAGAACATACACATAAATTATCAACGCCGAGAAAAATAGAAGCCATATTTTATTTAAATTTGTCGGTAGTAACAAAACTGATTGAAAATAAAATTAAGTGTTCAGCGAACAATCACATTGAAATCACCAGTTCGAGATATGACAATGATTGGGAATACAATTGATTGTTAAGCGAACGATTACATTGAAATCACCAGTTAATATAATTTCCATTAAAATACAAATAAAACTCTGAATAACACGTTGAATACGTAAATGTCAATAATGATGTCCGCAGAAACTGAGAAACAGTGGGACTATCCATCCAATGACGTCATCACTAAATGCTTACATGTGCAGCCTGTAGCACATCTACAAGTGCAGGGTCCAGTACACCCCCTATCGCAGGTAGTTTCCTGGAATGAGACATATGGTTTAGTGTTATGTCTAAGTGATTAATTTAGAGCTTATTATAAAACCAATACCGAGGATTATCATTTACATTTCATTGTATCTGCAGGCGATATAAGTCGTGGAAACTACGGGGATCTTTCTATAGAATTTACATGTATCTTTATAAATAAAAAGAAGAGGAAATCTAAACACAAACAAACAAATCCCAACCCGTTTGTTTGAAAAAAAAAACTTACATGATGAGCCAAATAATTCAGTTAAAGTAGTTTTAACACACGTACAGCAATTTGTCATATATAACGATTGATAAATGAATATATAACAATGTTACCTGCACATTTGCACCCAGCCTTGCAGAATGGACACTGGCATGCGCTACTGCACTTGCAGCCACATTTACATGCACGCCCTATCTGGCAAACTCCATCCGGGCAAGTAGCTCGCTTAGCCGCTGAATTAGAAAGATGTTATTGGATATTTATTATTACACTGTAATCTGTTAAAATTACAATAATAAAAGATCATACGTCTGATAAAATATCCAGTGACATTATATTGTAATTGCAGAAAGATATCATGGACTAATCGAAAAAAGGAGGGTATGGAGAGTTTTATCCCAAAATGATTATGGGAAATTTAGTGGTATCACAACTTACAGAAACATCCACAATTGACTTTACACCCGGGACATCTACAGTTGCTGGTACAACATCGCACACCAGTACAACCACACCTCCCCCCGGGACATTTGGCACAGAACACAGCTGTGAAAGAAGTAAATATTAACAAAATTCTAGTAATCGACAGCAATTCCATTACACGTAGCCTAACCTTCAAACATCTTAACACTCTCCGAACAATGTATTGTCGGTGTTTAACCTGATATAACTAATATAATAGGTTAGAAGGAAATAAGATGTTGGCAGAACGTTGAATGATATCTTAATGAACAAATATACTACGATCAATCATGACATTGAAATAGAAATAGACTAGTTCTCTTCGAAATTCTGGCGTCTAATATAAAGCCGGTACTTACCGGCAGCAGAGTTGCAACTGCACTGACAAGCACTAGTTCCACAGCATTGCCCTGAATGACAGTTCGCAGAACATACAGCATTGGCACCTGGGATGTAAGTAGAATAGAATCAGCGACTGGATATGTACCTCTGTATCTTCTCTGTAGAACAACCAGGCTTATTAACCGACTTCAATAAATTTTCATTTTCAAACCACTTTGGTCGACTTTATGTATTTTTATAATGAATAGATTTGGGAGAGATTCAAACTATCACTACTGACAACTAAGAGTCTTAGAATATATACTCGAAATCTTTTTCGGCAACAAGTGACGAACCCCTCATTTTGTCACGAACTAAGTAGTATGCTATTAACTGTCCCATCCCTTGTGTACCTTCTGCTACTAAGTCATGTAACGAATACGGTCATCTCTTATGTGAAGATAGCATTAACATGTAATACGAGTGCACAATGTTATTAAACAACATTACCTCCACACTTGCAGCCAGCCTTGCAGACAGAGCACTGACAAGTGTCATTGCACGTGCAGGAATCTCCACACTCACACGCACGCCCGACCTTACATTGTCCACCAGGACAGATGGCATCCTTCTTCGCTGCATGAAAATACAATTAAACACCATTATCATATATTTAGTTTAACAATATTGATTAATAACAAGATTGAATTTCCATTTTTATAAAATCTATACAAAAATGGTATACATGTGATGAGGCATCCTTGCATTATCCTGACATAAAAAACACCAAGAGAAATTTAAATACTGTCGTAATATCTACATTAAGGATAAGGTATTTATTGTTATTGAATTAAGTTAAGGCATTATAATCAAATATAAACCATGCTACAGAAAATCACGTTTTAAAATGAAGAAACTGTATATCTTAAGGTCATAAAGCAACTCACGGAAGCATCCACAACCGCTCTTACATCCGGGGCATCTACAGTTTTTGGTACAACAGTCTGCACCAGTACAACCACACCTCCCTCCAGGACACTTGGCGCAGTACACGGCTGCAAGAGGAATAAAGTAAGATGTAGTAACGTTTGTTAGAGTAGCCTTTTTAACACCGCTTCACCATCGACAAAAATGTAAAACAATTCTAAAACTGTGAAAACTTGGAAATTCATGGGTATGTTAACATTGACTATTGGAAAAAAGAATTTGTGAAAAGGTGTCCTATATTTTAGCAAGAAGGAAGATTTGGCAGAATTTGGGATTTCATCTACTGACTTCAGAATAATCACATTGATTGAATTAGAAAAGATAAAACAAGGTGACAAATCAAATTAAGAGATAGAAGAACAATAAAGCATGTTTCTGACACAGCCAGTGTGTAGATAAAGGAAATAATTAATTGACAAAATATATGGTTTGTTTGACTCAGTTGATAAAAATTGTTATCAATTAGAAATGGAGAAGATGTTTTGATTATTCGGTCGTAAATTCATTGAAGCGAATGCGTAAATTGGAAACAAATGTCTTCTTTGTGAAAAATATTTAAGAAAAAATCGTACATGCACTAATTCTTACAGATACCTTAACATATTTGCAAGAGTGTCGATAATCACTGTATAAATAAGTCTATTTACAAAAACGAAATCAGGAGCTTACCGGATGCGCAGTTACATCTGCATTTAGGACAAGTACATTTCCCGTCGCACTGGCATGTTTTGGTTCCACAACATTTGCCGGACATGCATTCTGAGGAGCAAACGAAGTAGGCACCTGCAAAGAAATGGATGAAAAAGTCACCTAGAGATTTATTTTTACCTGATCTTGTGACAATGTGATATTACTGTTAACCATACAAATTACTCGATACTTGCAGTAAGCATGTAATCCTCATCAATAACAGGTTTTCCTTAACTAGCATTGATTAAAGAAAACATATATAGTGTTGGTGTCGTTTTATTGTCCTGATTAAAGCTCCCTTTGCATAACAGATAAGACACATTACCTGCACATTTGCATCCGGCTTTACATTTAGGACACTGACATCCGTCACTGCACTGACAAGAGTCACCACACTCACACTTGCGTCCAATTTGGCATATTCCATCAAGACAGGTAGTACCTTTAGCCGCTGAAATGTAAATACACCATACCTCATTTTAAACTATTTATATATTATATTGTAAGAGACTGCCGTCAATATAGTATTCCCACGTTCCTATGTAATTACAATAATACATTAGTAAGAATCTAATTCATAACATGATATGTAGACCTGTTCTTTTCATAGAAGCGAAGGCTATTAAATCTTAAAAATATCGAAGACAAAGAATTAAATGCTAATCTCGTTTTTATAATTAAATAATAAAGTTCTATTTCGACATACCTAAGCCTTGGGAGCTGGCCTTACATCTCGGACAACTACAGCTGCTGCTACAGCAGTCTGTACTAGTACAGTCGCAGCTCCCCTCCGAACACATGGCGCACAAAACACCTGTAGGGAAAAGCAACTTTTTACATACTTGATTTACCATTTACATGATCTCTTCTCTATAGTTAATCACTAATGTAAAATATTTGAATTTGCATATTTATTCTTAAATTCTGAAACAGAAAATCCGTTGGTCTTACCTCCAGACAAAAAAACATTCATGAAAGGAGTCAAGTTAGAATTAGACTTGCTAGGAAATTGTTAAATTTTTTGATTAACATTTCCCTTAGAAATATCAGCATGTCCAAAGAATCGTAATCCAAACTCAAATTTAATACAATTACGCCAAACAGAACAAATGAACGATTCACATGCATTCATACAAAAAGATTTGTAATTATCTTCTTGACAAAATTAGTATTCTTTACACCTTTAAATCTAGTTTGACAAAATGTTCGATTGGTGGTTTAATTGTCATAGTGTTATGGCATGAGGAATCTTGTTTGAATTTATGTTCATATTTGGAAGTCACTTTTAAAGGTTCCATATTAATAGCTTTAAAATTGAGTCATGAAATCACATGTTATTTCCTGTGTCAGTGCTAGGTAGTTCTAAAATTGGCAGTTTTTAGGGAACAATCTTTAGAATTGAAATATCGGCTTCATCATCTGATAGCAAATTGTTGATCAAAAATTAACTAACCTTCAATCTGTGACATTTCGCAGTCTGTGTTGAAATCCTCTTGAAATGAGTTGATATAATCAAATCTTCGGCGTTAAACCAACTGTAAAATGTGACTCCTTTTATAGGCCCTGAGATTTTGGTGTGCAAACTTTTATCATAGAAAGGGTGACGTTCGCAAAACCAGTGCCGTGTGCAAATTACACAATTCACACGGTACGAAATCCACACGACATCTTTTGGATATCATCTACTTAGCATATCTTTAAAGCTAAGTGATAAGCCAATCCAGTGTTTAGACGTGCTGCTTACAATTATTACGTGAACCATGATATCCAGTCTGTTAGTTTTTTTAATAAACGATGGTGGAACAATCAACAGCGTAAATATTGTAAATGTAGACATGCGAGTGATTGTGTCGGCGATGCGAGGGTACTACCAGATTGTGTACATGTATTACTAAAACGTGACCTGTTCAGAATGTTATTCATGTGTAATTGTTCGTGTTTGTATTATTGCGACGTAGAAACGTATTTTTATGGTGAATATGGTTTATAAACTACGTTGTAATTGACTAATCTATAGAGATAAAAGCAATAGGAAATAGACTGATAACATGACACACAGGGTTTTTTTGTGTACATATCCATGTGTTATTAACATTACATCGTGTGCAGTGAAGATTGTACAGGCTCGTGTGCAGTGAGGGTTGTATGGATCTGTGTGCAGTGGGATTGAGAATTTTATAAATCCGTGAGCAGTAAGGGTTGTGTGGGTCCGTTTGAAGTGGGAGTATGAATTGTATAGATCCGTGTACATGACTGTTCAGATCTGGGTGTTCTCGGTGTCGTTATGGCATCGTGTGTTGCGGACGATACTTCGAGAACGTGTACACATAACGCAGCATGAAACATCAAAGATATATAGTGAAAATAATATATATCATACTGGTTTAGAAACTGTCTAACATGAATTGTTGGATTGATGATCTATTTCTCTATCGCAATATTGCGTATTAAATATATTCCTCTATAGCAAAAATAGCCCGTTAGAAATTAACTGAAGAATATTTTAACGTTATAATAACATTGAGTGTGTGGAGATATACATCATCTATCGCAAACGCAATCTTATAAAGTTGTAAAAATACAAAAATTAATTTCTTTTATTTACTAAATAATTTACTAAAATGTATTGGTAAACCGAACGTTACGTTGTACGTTAGAATCACGCCGCAGAAGATTTTAGAGCAAGGTTATATTAACTGCTATGAGAACAATACAATATAGTTAATTCAAGAACATTAAATAGTGTGAAAATTATTCGTTGCCGCTTTACATTTTTAGATTTAGATTTTTAGACAATCTCAAACATCTATACAAAATATACAATATTCATTCCACCTGATATTTCATAGTAGAAACCGTTCCGTTCCAATACGTTATCATAGGCCTCTATAGTAATAACATTGCGTTAAAACTAGGTTTGGTAATGTCGGTTACGGGGTTAACATAATCACTTAAAGATTTCTGTCATGTTACTATGTATATTTAAACTGATAAACCCTATGTTGTAATATATACAGGTGTAAATCAGAGTGCATCTAAGACGAGGCTTTCTTTCATATCATCTGTATTATGTGTAGACGTATTGAATTAGAAAAACATTCCTGTTACACATTGTTCCATAATGATACCGAGTACACGCGAATCTCTACATCACTAATGTACACGGATATACACAGTCAGGCCCTGTTGTCATTCTATTCCTATCGTCACCTTTGACCCAATACTATTTTAGCAAAAAAAGTTTTGTCGGGACGCTGACGATGACGTTAAAGTTTTACGGTTGATGATGCCGGGTGATCGAAATTGAAATTATTTCAAAGCTAATATTAGTTAACATAGTACTGCGTTAGAACAAATGTAATTGACAAAAAAGAAATGTAGTTCTTAAATTGATAACAAGACATGATTGCATAGATTGGTGTGCAGTCGTTGTAGTAAATTCGGAAAATTTGTTACAGAATTGAGTCTATGACATGTTTGAAGAGTACAAATCGAAAACATATTCTGAATACCATGTCCATTATCTTGTTTCATAAATTTCACAAAAACAATTTCAGAGAGATCGATCGTGGTGCATTTTATGATTTTTTTTTGCTTCTTTGACAATTCGAGATAAGTGTTCATGTTTATCAATGAGATGTGAAATTGTTGTATGATAACACTTACTACAACACGTACTGCAGTCTTAATTGTTTGAGGGTTCGAATTTAATTGCTTCAGTATTGACATAATAACTTAATGGTGTAATAAACATTGTGGTGACACCAAAAAGGGACATGACGATTTATAACGGTCTAGTAATATGGTGTTTTGATGATTTTATTCATATATGTCCATTTTACAGAAAATTAATAAAATCCGCCATAATTTAAAAAAACAGTTTATCTCGATAATTATTCTTAAAATTGCTTTATGTATCATAAAGGCATAAAGGATGCATGGCGTTTATCCATAAGTAAATGATCATACAGTGCAGTTGATATTTTACTTCAGTTAAGATTTGATGAGTTGATGATATACCACATGATATAGAAATTTTGAAAATTACAATAGAAAATATATTCTAAATACTATGTCTATTATCTTGTTATATAAATCTCATAGAAATAATTTCAGAGAGATACATCTCGATGTATGTTGCAAGTATTACTAAAGGTAGCATAGTTCATATCTTATTTTATTTTACGTCTTAGACAAACCAATGAGATGTGTACATCATACTGTTTTTATATACCTATTTTTCTTCAGTTAAGATTTGATGTGTTCATAATTATAATGAATAAAGATGACATACAACTATTCTGAGAGAGACAGAAACCCTGTGTAATCGTGTTTACGTCGTGACCGACATTTCCAAATCTAACTCCAGGTCTAAAAGATTATACTGTTTAATTTATTGTTTGACTCTACGGTGTCTTAACTTATTTTTTATCAAAATGTATTATTCACGTGTTAGTCTAATCTGAAGACCCTGTGGTATATGAATAGAAGATAATGCCAAATGGTCATCAGACCAATATACAATCTTAAACTTGATAAAACGACGGAAGAATAAAAACAATAGGAAGGATATATTTACTTGGAAATATATATATAGGTCAATCTAAGAAATATTGTCATATCTCATAGATTATGTCTTGAAAACACTCAGCAAAGGATTCGTAATGTGGATTTCCAGTGTGGTATTTTATGGAGAATACATTAATAGCTTAATCGAAAACATAATAAACATTCGTATAAAAGTCTACAAGATTGTTTATTTTTATCATTTGACCCAAATATGTCAAACAATTCTTGCAAAAACAAATGATTTACATAGATTACCTGTAAATAAGAAAAAAACAATGTCAAAGAATATTAGCATCACCAATTAAAAATTCATTAAAAAGTCATTCAGCATTGCTGAGAAACAGTTCGATGCTCCATCCAGCAAAGTCTGAGGAGTATCAAAGATGCCATATCTTACTGCTTACACGTGCAGCCAGAGGCACACTTACAGGTTGTTGGTCCAGTGCATCCTACACCACAGGCACAGGTCCCTGAAATGTCATTATGATTACTTCACAATGTTAAGATGCAGTGTATGATATATATAATAAAATCTTATGAAAACATAAAGGTATCAATAACTAGTTGATAGTTTACACTTATCGAAGAGATAGGTTGAAGCCTGTACAACAGACACAAAAAATTGTTATCAATGTATAGTACCAAATCTTGTAATATAAATTGTATATTAGACAACTATAGATGATAAACAATGAGATCTTTTCCCCTGTAAAACTTCTTTTAGTACACGTACCACATGCGCAAGTGCATCTGCACTTAGGACATTGGCAATTTCCATTGCACAAACAGGCTTTGGTTTCACAACACTGTCCTGTCTGGCATCCAACAGAGCATGCGAAATTGGTGCCTGTAATGAAAAAGGTGTGAAGACCAGATCAATATCTGCTAGGTTTAATACATTAATCAATCTTTTATCCCTTAAAGTTGCCATGCACACATGAAAAAATGTTAATTTGATCTGTAACACTATCATCAGAAGATAGATAATAAACATTTACTTGCTGTGACCGTGTCAAAAAGAGTTACTTCCCTTGAGGTATGAATTATTCAGAAAACGTGTAGTTCCTAGAACGCATCATATTCATTTATAATCTTGTAATACTCATCAAAGTGCCTTTGCTTACAGCCAGAAAGCAGAAAATAAGACAACTGACTGAAATAACTGATGTGTTTGTCTGCAGTTAGGGCACTGGCATTTGGCACTGCAAGCACAGGAGTCGCCACAACCACATGCTACTCCCATCTGACAAACTCCGTCAGGACAATTTGCTTTCTTTGCCGCTAAATTAGGAATGCAAAATATACTATGTATATACCTGAATATCTGGTTGACTATTACTAATGATAAATATCTCTATGCTCTCTCTCTCTCACACAGAAAAAAAGAATCAGAGTTTTGATTATCTGTTACCAAAAATATAATTATTTATGTTTATAAATGTTATTGGATATAAAGCATTCGTGTTATCCTAAGTTTTGTTTACTTCCACTATATCTTAATTTAATTTTGAAATGTGTCATTACTTTATGTTTTATGTACGATCCTTGAGATTGGTAGACAAAGCTTGAAAATCTTTAGTCCCCTCGGTTTGCCGTATTCTGCACGCCACGTTCGAATTCATTCGAATAGTGGCACAACTCATGATTGACTTTTGTACTAAGCGTTCTTTTTAAGTTATCAGATATACAAAGATTAGGAAAATTTATTTAAGTATGGGGCGATTGAATCTCCTCGTTTAGGTGTTAACAATACTTCCCCTCACTTTATTTCTCTTAGTCGTCTCCAAGGTTTCAAAATTCAGGAAGGACGAACCGTGTATGATGCAGTTTTGCTCTCTCAGTCTAAATTCATAATGAAAGGTAATATTCACTTGTGTGTCTTTTGTACAAAACGTTGGAACGTTATGTTTTTTTTTTGTTTTGCTGTGATTTGAAATTCAAAACATAGAACTTACGAAAGCATGCGCACTTGACCTTACATCCAGTACATCTACAGTTGGTGGCGCAGCAACCGGCATCAGTACAGCCGCATTTACTTCTGGGACACTTGGCACAGAATGCAGCTGTCAGTGGAGTATATTAAAATCAATGTACGATATGTTCACGTGCTTATCTTTAAAAGAATATTTCTATTGTTGAATTCAGATAAGCTCCGCAATTCAACTAAGCGGTATTCCTGAAATCATATAGAATCCGAATCAAATGTGTAGATAAAACGTTTATTGATTAGTTTATCTATTTTACGCAAATAATGCTGGAATTCACTATGTATGTTAGTATTACGTTAAACGTTATAAACATGTATGCATACATATCGACTACCAAACAGCATATTACACACGACTATCTGGAATATTTGTGCGTTGATTTTTTTTCTCCTTGCCTGGAACATAACATGCAATCACAATATCATAGTAGTAAATTAAAAGAAAAAAAAAAAAAGAAAAGAAAAAAGAATTGAGCATCATACCTTCCGCCTTAGACATCTTGATTTCTATAATGAAATCCCCAATACGGCAGTATAATAAAATTTGGTCTTCAGCAGATGATCAACTGCAAAATGTGACAAAATATATAGTAGATTGGACACCACGTGTGCAAACCTTCATCGAAAGTATTACAGATAAATATGAAAATTGGTTATGTGCGCAACGATATGGGATTAAAAATCTTAGGGCCGAGAGCAAAGAGAATAGGGCATGAAAACGCGTTTGCTACTACGTCTCTGAATTAGGTTTTGTATATTCAGCCACCAGTTTTTCTAATTGACAGGCCGTTTGATGTTTTGTGTGCTTATTACCAATATGTTTTTGTTTTAACCAATTAGCTAACCGCTTTTATGTTTAGTAACTGTATTACTTGAGGGAGATTTTTTTCTTTAACCTTGACTTGCGTATCCATTTGTTTACTGGACTATCATTTAAATATGATAGTATAGGGTGATAACTGGACATTATAGGTTGATAGCGAGAAATTATAGGGTGATGACGGGGAATTATAGGGTGATGACGGGGACTTATAGGTTGATAGCTGGACATTATAGGTTGATAGCTTGACATTATAGGTTGAGAGCTGGACATTATAGGTTGATAGCTGGACATTATAGGTTGATAGCTGGACATTATAGGGTGATAGCTGGACATTATAGGGTGATAGCTGGACATTATAGGGTGATAGCTGGACATTATAGGTTGATAGCGAGAAATTATAGGGTGATGACGGGGAATTATAGGGTGATGACGGGGACTTATAGGTTGATAGCTGGACATTATAGGTTGATAGCTGGACATTATAGGGTGATAGCTGGACATTATAGGGTGATAGCTGGACATTATAGGGTGATAGCTGGACATTATAGGGTGATAGCTGGACATTATAGGTTGATAGCTGGACATTATAGGGTGATAGCTGGACATTTTAGGTTAATAGCGAGGAATTATAGGGTGATGACGGGGAATTATAGGGTGATGACGGGGACTTATAGGTTGATAGCTGGACATTATAGGTTGATAGCTGGACATTATAGGTTGATAGCTGGACATTATAGGTTGATAGCTGGACATTATAGGTTGAGAGCTGGACAATATAGGTTGAAAGCTGGACATTATAGGGTGATAGCTGGACATTATAGGTTGATAGCTGGACATTATAGGGTGATAGCTGGACATTATAGGTTGATAGCTGGACATTATAGGGTGATAGCTGGACATTATAGGGTGATAGCTGGACATTATAGGTTGATAGCTGGACATTATAGGGTGATAGCTGGACACTATAGGTTGATAGCTGGACATTATAGGGTGATGACGGGGAATTATAAGGTGAAAGCTGGACATTATAGGTTGATAGCTGGACATTATAGGTTGATAGTTGGACATTATAGGTTGATAGCGAGGTATTAGGGTGATGACGGGGAATTACAGGGTGATGACGGGGATTTATAGGTTGATAGCTGGACATTATATGTTGATAGCTGGACATTATAGGTTGATAGCTGGACATTATAGGGTGATAGCTGGACATTATAGGTTGATAGCTGGACATTATAGGTTGATAGCTGGACATTATAGGGTGATAGCTGGACATTATAGGGTGATAGCTGGACATTATATGTTGATAGCGAGGGATTATAGGGTGATGACGGGGAATTATAGGGTGATAGCTGGACATTATAGGTTGATAGCTGGACATTATAGGGTGATAGCTGGACATTATAGGTTGATAGCTGGACATTATAGTGGTGATAGCTGGACATTATAGGTTGATAGCTGGACATTATAGGGTGATAGCTGGACATTATAGGTTGATAGCTGGACATTATAGGGTGATAGCTGGACATTATAGGGTGATGACGGGGAATCATAGGGTGATAGCTGGACATTATAGGGTGATGACGGGGAATTATAGGTTGATTGCTGGACATTATATGTTGATAGCTGGACATTATAGGTTGATAGCTGGACATTATAGGATGATAGCTGGACATTATAGGTTGATAGCTGGACATTATAGGGTGATAGCTGGACATTATAGGGTGATAGCTGGACATTATAGGGTGATAGCTGGACATTATAGGTTGAGAGCTGGACATTATAGTTTGATAGCTGAACATTATAGGGTGATAGCTGGACATTATAGGTTGATAGCTGGACATTATAGGGTGATAACTGGACATTATAGGGTGATAGCTGGACATTATAGGGTGATAGCTGGACATTATAGGGTGATAGCTGGACATTATAGATAGCTGGACATTATAGGATAGCTGGACATTATAGGGTGATAGCTGGACATTATAGGGTGAGAGCTGGACATTATAGGGTGATAACTGGACATTATAGGGTGATAGCTGGACATTATAGGGTGATAGCTGGACATTATAGGTTAATAGCTGGACATTATAGGGTGATAGCTGGACATATTATAGGGTGATAGCTGGACATTATAGGGTGATAGCTGGACATTATAGGGTGATAGCTGGACATTATAGGTTGATAGCTGGACATTATAGGGTGATAGCTGGACATTACAGGTTGATAGCTGGACATTATAGGGTGATAGCTGGACATTGATAGCTGGACATTATAGGGTGATAGCTGGACATTATAGGTTGATAGCTGGACATTTATGAGGACATTATTGATAGCTGTGATAGCTGGACATTATAGGGTGATAGCTGGACATTATAGGGTGATAGCTGGACATTATAGGTTGATAGCTGGACATTATAGGGTGATAGCTGGACATTATAGGTTGATGACGGGGAATTATAGGTTGATAGCTGGACATTATAGGGTGATAGCTGGACATTATAGGTTGATAGCTGGACATTATAGGTTGATAGCTGGACATTATAGGGTGATAGCTGGACATTATAGGTTGATAGCTGGACATTATAGGGTGATAGCTGGACATTATAGGGTGATAGCTGGACATTATAGGTTGATAGCTGGACATTATAGGTTGATAGCTGGACATTATAGGGTGATAGCTGGACATTATAGGTTGATAGCTGGACATTATAGGGTGATAGCTGGACATTATAGGTTGATAGCTGGACATTATAGGTGATAGCTGGACATTATAGGTTGATTGCTGGACATTATATGTTGATAGCTGGACATTATAGGTTGATAGCTGGACATTATAGGATGATAGCTGGACATTATAGGTTGATAGCTGGACATTATAGGCTGATAGGGAGGAATTATAGGGTGATGACGGGGAATTATAGGGTGATAGCTGGACATTATAGGTTGATAGCTGGACATTATAGGGTGATAGCTGGACATTATAGGTTGATAGCTGGACATTATAGGGTGATAGCTGGACATTATAGGTTGATAGCTGGACATTATAGGTTGATAGCTGGACATTATAGGTTGATAGCTGGACATTATAGGTTGATAGCTGGACATTATAGGTTGATAGCTGGACATTATAGGTTGATAGCTGGACATTATAGGGTGATAGCTGGACATTATAGGGTGATAGCTGGACATTATAGGTTGATAGCTGGACATTATAGGGTGATAGCTGGACATTATAGGGTGATGACGGGGAATTATAGGGTGATGACGGGGACTTATAGGTTGATAGCTGGACATTATAGGTTGATAGCTGGACATTATAGGTTGATAGCTGGACATTATAGGGTGAAAGTTGGACATTATAGGGTGATAGCTGGACATTATAGGTTGAGAGCTGGACATTATAGGTTGATAGCTGGACATTATAGGGTGATAGCTGGACATTATAGGTTGATAGCTGGACATTATAGGTTGATAGCTGGACATTATAGGGTGATAGCTGGACATTATAGGTTGATAGCTGGACATTATAGGGTGATAGCTGGACATTAAAGGTTGATAGCGAGGAATTATAGGGTGATGACGGGGAATTATAGGGTGATGACGGGGACTTATAGGTTGATAGCTGGACATTATAGGTTGATAGCTGGACATTATAGGTTGATAGCTGGTATATATGTGGTCGTCTTTTTTAGTTTTTAAAATTGTTGTCACTGAGGAAAACATACATATTTTAAAACAACATATTGGTGTGTTTAGAAATGATTTCAGACCAAGAAATTAATTGTTTAATTACTTATGCTAATTATTAGTTTTGTTGAAATTAGGGAATCTTATCAGCATTCAGCAAGTTACAACAGAAAAAAAATCTGATATATAGTGTCTGCCATATTTCTGTCTCTTGTTGTATTTTGCTCTTTCTTCAGATAAACTGAAGAGGTAACAGCACAAAAATATCATTTCTTAACATTACACAATATATAAAACCCTTTTTGTCTTTTGCAATTTTGGAAATAAGTGATACTTTGTCGTCTATATCATTATGATTGCTATTTGTTTCAGGCACTGCTTGAAAGATACTAAAAAAATGTTTTAGTTCAATGAAGATTGTAAGAAGACACAATGCTATTGAGTAACAGTATAGAAACAGCATATGTTAAGATTTTGTTTTACCGTCTTATTGCCAAGATCACAATTTCCATGCAAGATGTGGTCACTGACAGACAATTCACAACACAGGGTTTCGAGAGATGCAGATTAATGAAGAACTGGGGGGATGTTACGTTCGTCATAATGCCTTATGGTAAAATATTTTGTTTCCTTGTGCGATATGAAGCTTGCAGTGTCTGATGCCAGGTGGTTCAAGTTTTGTTTGACTTTGGGAACAAGAAATGACTTATCTTACTAAACCCCTGGTCTTATACTTTTCCAGGAGTCTCAGTGACAATAATTTTTTTGTGTCCTGATATCTTCCCAGTTTGATCAATTTCGCTTTCGAATTACGATTAGGTGGATGTGTCAATATTTTATATTGTGCAGTTTATCATTTGACTATACTGTATCTTGTTCTTAAATTATACTGAATAATGTTGATAATTTTTGTATCTTTTGTATTATCTTCGATATTGAAAATACTATAAATAGTACCAATTCATGCATTTAGGGACAAATTAAAATAAGTAAATATTGTTTATAAAAAGTAACAGTGCAGAGTTTCTCTTTCAATTGTTTTGCCAAACTTCGCTCAGCAGCTTGTTCTGAGCTATATTTTATTGTACGTTTTAAGCAATTTTCCCATCCTGTTACGATGTACATGTAGCATGCAAAACCTCATATCTGAGTAATTATTGTACGGGTTTTCGATAATAAGGTCAAACAAGTGAATAGCACTAAACAATTAATTGATATTAAGGGCCTAGTTGGTGGTCGGGTGGCGCAGTGGTAACGCACTCGCCTTTCACGTCGCCGACCGGGGTTCAATTCCCGGACGTGAAAAGGTAAGGGGTCACCTGCCCGACCACTTGGGTACTCCGGTTTTCTCCCACAATAAGACCCCTCGCGCGCTTACATCCGGGCCAACAAGAGTGATTAGTATAAGTTGACATCACTTGTTTCGCAATTGTTGTAAAATAATTCAGCCTAGGAGGGGTAATTGAAAGAAATATAAAAATCTAGGATATTTCAGTAAATTTTGTAAAAGTTGTATAATCAATCATTTTAATTGAAATTGTAAATGTTTTATTATAATGTTTTCTCGTGTTACTACAAGTATCAAAAGTCTTCATAGGAATATTCTGGTCTCAGCCTATTCTATTTCAAATATATATATATATATGGAATTTGTAATATTTGTTCATACTGTTCTTATTAATTTATTGATCATTTCTATATCTAAATGTTTGATTGTCTTTAATATCCTCCTGTTTACTTTGACCCTAATAACAAGTCCTAAAGCAGAAAGTCTGTATGATGTAGTTTATTTTTGGCCACACTGTATCAACTTTGAAGTTATATTGAAAAATGATATCAACCTGTGTGTCTTTTGTACATTCTTATCATGATTTGTTTTTTGCTGCAGGTAGAGATGTGTAAAACATAAATCAACATCAGCATGAAAAAAAAGAACAACAACAAAAAAAAAAAAAAACTAAACTAAAAAACAAAGAATTAACTACTATGAATTAATTGGTGCTTCATCGAATGCTCCTCATCTGACAACAGATTACATTTGTAATAAATACCTATCAGATATCTGGTTTGATTAATTATTCTCACGTATCATCAATAATTGATGAGCATTCCACAATGTTTGTATCCATTTATATATGTATATTTAGTGAAGGTGTGTATGTTAAAGTCTTTTAATAACTTAGTTAATTCCTTAATAATACAGAAGTTGTAAAATGACATAAGGAATTATATGTTTATGTTGTAATTCAGATTGAAAATATACACACCTCAAAAACCATAGTTGATAAATAACGAAAGACAAATTAAAAGTGAAACATTTAATTTTTTTTTTCATTGTTTCTGAAAAAGAGAACAACCCATCAGCAGAGTAACAGGATTTTAACGATAATCTGCTTATAAAGTATCTAAATAATAAGAAATGAACTTCAATGTCAGTAAGTATGACGTCTAACAACAGAAGATCAGTCCATTGCATATAACTTGTAGGTTTTAGGCAAAACGTCTTCGCTTACTGCTTGCACGTGCAATCAGTAGCACACTTGCAGTTTGTGGGTCCAGTACAGCCCACACCGCACGTACAGGCCCCTGAAATAAGATATAAATTGTTTCAATTCAGATTATGTTTTCCATTAAATGTTACTGTGTATTTCCGTTGATAATTTGTTCATGGAGAAAACTGACATTTTAATTATCCATAGCATAAATATGTTTTTATAAGGTTACCCGGGTATGTAGCACAGTATATCATCAAAAGACAAGTGCTTTCACTATATGATCGTTTTTGTGTTTTTTAAAAACACATACGTTAGTAAAAAAAAAATCGAAAAATATGAAAATTAAGAAAGCAAGATCCACAAATAAGATGAGAATAAAAAAATGTAAAAAACACATTACAAAACGTTTCATATAATTGACAAATTTACCCGAATGCAACCTTCTTTTTGTTATATTTTCATTAAATTATTCACATATTCTACGATAGCTTCAATCATGTTTTGTTAGATATATTACTATGTAATAATTCAGGAACTTACCAGATGCACAGTTGCATTTGCACTTCGGACATGCGCATTTGCCGTTGCACTTACATGCGCTGGTACCGCAACATTTTCCTGACTGGCAGTCGTCGGAACACACGAAGTTAGCACCTGAGAGAAAAGGAAAATTTACATCAACGACAGGTAAATAAACAGCTGTGTCGCTTTTAGTAAGTTATTTCTATTATCGTCAATAAGATGTGAAAAATAACCACTTTGTTACAGAAATTTCTGGTGTAAAATGTTCGCGATATAAAAAAGATTATTACTACACAGTCAAACCTCTCTTAGTATCTATCTTCATACAATGGTCACCTGTCTATACAGGTCACCGTTTGGTTCCCTAGCTAATATACAGTTCATAGAAATTGATATATAAATTCCACATGTGCTTAACGCCACTTTTCCCTACTCCCTTGTGTGGCCTTTAAAGACAGGTTTGACTGTAATAACTAACTTAACCACCTTGCATATAATTATAATTCAGACATCATTAACATGGATTACCTGCACATTTACATCCGGCATTACAATTAGGGCATTGGCATGCGTCACTGCATTTACACGAGTCTCCACAACTGCATGCTACCCCCATCTGGCAAATTCCATCAGGACAAGTAGCATTCTTTGCAGCTAGAAATGAAATATACGGCATAAATATATTGAACAACAATGCAAAATATTTCTTCAATTCTATATTTGCATAACTTTTGGACTCTAAGTGTGATATTACATTGTAATTAATGACGTCACATCAGTAAAGTGGAGGATAGAATCATTACGAAACTGACCAGGTAGACCTTTCAAAAAAAAGAATTAATCGGTAATCAATAATCATGTTTTGAAATCTTAGAATCTACAATGCTGTTATCTTAAGATTTGTCAAAAGACGATAAATATTATATTTACTTAATGGGACAAAGAAGAAGAAAAAAGGGCTATGTCCCCCGCCTCAGTTTTCTTTCATAGGTTCACCATCGAAAAGGAAGGAATGAAAAATGATACAAAAATAATTCATGTTACTTTCATTTTTCAAATATCCAACAGTTACGATTCATGTTCAGCACATTTTATCATAGATGAACAAAAATGCCATATTCTGTACCCAACCACATGTTGAAATGCATGCCAGAAACTAATGGTACATTTGTGAATTAAAACCAGGAACGTATTGGACCATCTACAAGTGAATGTTGATAAGGTTTAATCTAACAGATATTACTTTTTTATATTTCTATATCTAAGGCAGGCCCAGCACATATGTTAATAAATTACCATATAAGTATAATGACAACTTACAGAAACATCCACAGCCAACCTTACATCCCGGACATCGACAGTTGTTAGTACAGCAGTCGGTACCAGTACAGCCACATTTACCGCCTGGACACTTGGCACAGAACACGGCTGTGTCGAGTAAGGAAAATAAAATTCGTTCATTAACTATATTGAGATTAAATGAAAAGCAACGTACATTTTATGTCTCATTATGTTCTCATAGAAATACCTTTATAGAAGTTTATTAATAAACGAAAATAAGATAATTGCAAACCAGTCAGATAAATTCAGCAATTGTGAAAAAGTCAAGATCGTGGTTGTTCATAATCATTTTTCAGAAGTCAATGTGTCCGAAATTGAAAGAATTACATTGCACCACCCACCTTCGGTTGCAGACATCTTGTCTTGTTTATCTTGATACCTTCTAGGAACGGTTAGAGCAATCGGTTGTCAGTGTGAAAATATGAATCTTTTTATACAAAACTTTATCAATACGTGTGCAAAACATCTTCGTGTGCATAACACAGGATCAATGTGAATAGGTAATGCTTAGTATAAAAACTATGGGAATTTGTGATTAGGGCCGTGTGCATAAAACTCGATTACAAGTTGAGACTTTGCGCCCGACATATTGTTGATTACTTTTATCAGTAATATAAATATGCACCCTGTCTCTCGTTACCGAGATTGTGCATATTAATAACATGGGAATCACATCAGACTTGTTGTCTTCCGTAAAGTGTTGTTTACAGTGTTACCAAAAGGTTCTAGAAATGATAAGCTATATATCAATAGGAAAAGAATAAATAGTAAATAAAAAGTATATATTATACTAATATAGTATAAGTACATATATGTAACATTGTTTTAATATAACTAACACATTCTTTACTGAGCGTACAAAAATATACTGTGATTATCAACACAAATGTACTGTTTGCGTACTATTTTTAACATTAATATGTTCGTCCAACATCTTCAGCACCTTTTAGAGAACCGAGGTTTGACGTGTTGTAAAATGACGTTATATTTTGCCTTATGTTAGCATTACTCGAATTCAAAAAGATTTTAATAAGATCCAAAATACTTCTAATTTTATATAATAACGTGTAATTCCTGATTTATGAAGGATCATTAAAACGGTATTGTCGTTTTCATGGAAGGTTATAGATCAATAAAGACCGTGTGCAGAGATGACAAAGATAGATCATGTGCAGATGATTTAGAACCGTGTGCAGGGATCTATGTATAGATTTGTGTGCTTATAAATGATTTCAAACCAAGAACTTAATTGTTTAATTACTTATGCTGATATATTTAATGTTTTGTTGTTTGTCCCAGAGATTCAATTCTGTCCTGTTACCATAAACTTTACTGGGCCATTTAATACCATATTGTCAAGCTGACTATACTTATCCAGAACCCCTCCATACACAATCTTTTGATGTAACTTTTGTAAAGATTCGTAGGGATTGACACTTATGTATAATTTTGAAGTTCTGTTTTGTTACCTACGTTTCCGGAACAAAACTAGAATTTGAGAGAACCTTATGACTTGATTTGCAAACCCAAATCAAACTGTTTAAAACTGTAAAATTACTATTGACCTCACATTTGTTTCTCTTTATGGTTACTTTTAAAATAGTGACGAGAAAAAAGAGAGAGAGAAAGTGTCTGCAGCAGTGACTTTTGCTTTAATATTACCATTCTAAACATCATTATTAATCTTACCAACCTTAAAAAATAAAAAAAAATATATATGATATATAGGGTCTGCCATATTTCTGTCTTTTGTTGTATTTTGCTCTTTCTTCAAATAAACTAAAATGATAACAGCTCAAAAATATCATTTCTTAACATTACACAATATGCAAAACCCTTTTTGTTTTTTGCAATTTTGGAAATAAGTGATACTTTGTCTTCTATATCATTATGATTGCTATTTGTTTCAGGCACTGCTTGAAAGATGCTAACAAATTGTTTTAGTTCAATGAAGATTTAATAAGACACAATGCTATTGAGTAACAGTATAGAAACAGCATATGTTAATTTTTTTATTTTTATCGTCTTATTCACAAGTTCACGATTTCCGTGCAAGATGTGGTCAGCTGACAGACAATTAACAACACAGGGTATCGAGAGATGCAGATTAATGAAGAACTGGGGGGATATTACGTTCGTGATAATGCCCCATTGTAAAATATTTTGTTTCCTTGTGCGATATGAAGCTTGCAGTGTCTGATGCCAGGTGGTTCAAGTTTTGTTTACCTTTGGGAACAAGAAATGACTTACCTTACTAAACCCCTGGTCTTATACTTTTCCAGGAGTCTCAGTGACAATAATTTTTTTGTGTCCTGATATCTTCCCAGTTTGATCAATTTCGCTTTCGAATTACGATTAGGTGGATGTGTCAATATTTTATATTGTGCAGTTTATCATTTGACTATACTGTATCTTGTTCTTAAATTATTGAATAATGTTGATAATTTTTGTATCTTTTATTTTATCTTCGATATTGAAAATACTATAAATAGTACCAATTCATGCATTTAGGGGCAAATTAAAATAAGTAAATATTGTTTATAAAAAGTAACAGTGCAGAGTTTCTCTTTCAATTGTTTTGCCAAACTTCGCTCAGCAGCTTGTTCTGAGCTATATTTTATTGTACGTTTTAAGCAATTTTCCCATCCTGTTACGATGTACATGTAGCATGCAAAACCTCATATCTGAGTAATTATTGTACGGGTTTTCGATAATAAGGTCAAACAAGTGAATAGCACTAAACAATTAATTGATATTAAGGGCCTAGTTGGTGGTCGGGTGGCGCAGTGGTAACGCACTCGCCTTTCACGTCGCCGACCGGGGTTCAATTCCCGGACGTGAAAAGGTAAGGGGTCACCTGCCCGACCACTTGGGTACTCCGGTTTTCTCCCGCAATAAGACCCCTCGCGCGCTTACATCCGGGCCAACAAGAGTGATTAGTATAAGTTGACATCACTTGTTTCGCAATTGTTGTAAAATAATTCAGCCTAGGAGGGGTAATTGAAAGAAATATAAAAATCTAGGATATTTCAGTAAATTTTGTAAAAGTTGTATAATCAATCATTTTAAATGAAATTGTAAATGTTTTATTATAATGTTTTCTCGTTTTACTACAAGTATCAAAAGTCTTCATAGGAATATTCTGGTCTCAGCCTATTCTATTTCAAATATATATATATCTGTAATTTGTAATATTTGTTCATACTGTTCTTATTAATTTATTGATCATTTCTATATCTAAATGTTTGATTGTCTTTAATATCCTCCTGTTTACTTTGACCCTAATAACAAGTCCTAAAGCAGAAAGTCTGTATGATGTAGTTTAATTTTGGCCACACTGTATCAACTTTGAAGTTATATTGAAAAATGATATCAACCTGTGTGTCTTTTGTACATTCTTATCATGATTTGTTTTTTGCTGCAGGTAGAGATGTGTAAAACATAAATCAACATCAGCATGAAAAAAAAGAACAAAACAAAAAAAAAAAAAAAAAAAAAACTAAACTAAGAATTAACTACTATGAATTAATTGGTGCTTCATCGAATGCTCCTCATCTGACAACAGATTACATTTGTAATAAATACCTATCAGATATCTGGTTTGATTAATTATTCTCACGTATCATCAATAATTGATGAGCATTCCACAATGTTTGTATCCATTTACATATGTATATTTAGTGAAGGTGTGTATGTTAAAGTCTTTTAATAACTTAGTTAATTCCTTAATAATACAGAAGTTGTAAAATGACATAAGGAATTATATGTTTATGTTGTAATTAAGATTGAAAATATACACACCTCAAAAACCATAGTTGATAAATAACGAAAGACAAATTAAAAGTGAAACATTTAATTTTTTTTCATTGTTTCTGAAAAAGAGAACAACCCATCAGCAGAGTAACAGGATTTTAACGATAATCTGCTTATAAAGTATCTAAATAATAAGAAATGAACTTCAATGTCAGTAAGTATGACGTCTAACAACAGAAGATCAGTCCATTGCATATAACTTGTAGGTTTTAGGCAAAACGTCTTCGCTTACTGCATGCACGTGCAATCAGTAGCACACTTGCAGTTTGTGGGTCCAGTACAGCCCACACCGCACGTACAGGTCCCTGAAATAAGATATAAATTGTTTCAATTCAGATTATGTTTTCCATTAAATGTTACTGTGTATTTCCGTTGATAATTTGTTCATGGAGAAAACTGACATTTTAATTATCCATAGCATAAATATGTTTTTATAAGGTTACCCGGGTATGTAGCACAGTATATCATCAAAAGACAAGTGCTTTCACTATATGATCGTTTTTGTGTTTTTTAAAAACACATACGTTAGTAAAAAAATCGAAAAATATGAAAATTAAGAAAGCAAACATTACAATACGTTTCATATAATTGACAAATTTACCCCAAATACAGTTAAGTGCAACCTTCTTTTTGTTATATTTTCATTAAATTATTCACATATTCTACGATAGCTTCAATCATGTTTTGTTAGATATATTACTATGTAATAATTCAGGAACTTACCAGATGCACAGTTGCATTTGCACTTCGGACATGCGCATTTGCCGTTGCACTTACATGCGCTGGTACCGCAACATTTTCCTGACTGGCAGTCGTCGGAACACACGAAGTTAGCACCTGAGAGAAAAGGAAAATTTACATCAACGACAGGTAAATAAACAGCTGTGTCGCTTTTAGTAAGTTATTTCTATTATCGTCAATAAGATGTGAAAAATAACCACTTTGTTACAGAAATTTCTGGTGTAAAATGTTCGCGATATAAAAAAGATTATTACTACACAGTCAAACCTCTCTTAGTATCTATCTTCATACAATGGTCACCTGTCTATACAGGTCACCTTTTGGTTCCCTAGCTAATATACAGTTCATAGAAATTGAACCTATATATAAATTCCACATGTGCTTAACGCCACTTTTCCCTACTCCCTTGTGTGGCCTTTAAAGACAGGTTTGACTGTAATAACTAACTTAACCACCTTGCATATAATTATAATTCAGACATCATTAACATGGATTACCTGCACATTTACATCCGGCATTACAATTAGGGCATTGGCATGCGTCACTGCATTTACACGAGTCTCCACAACTGCATGCTACCCCCATCTGGCAAATTCCATCAGGACAAGTAGCATTCTTTGCAGCTAGAAATGAAATATACGGCATAAAAATATTGAACTACAATGCAAAATATTTCTTCAATTCTATATTTGCATAACTTTTGGACTCTAAGTGTGATATTACATTGTAATTAATGACGTCACATCAGTAAAGTGGAGGATAGAATCATTACGAAACTGACCAGGTAGACCTTTCAAAAAAAGAATTAATCGGTAATCAATAATCATGTTTTGAAATCTTAGAATCTACAATGCTGTTATCTTAAGATTTGTCAAAAGACGATAAATATTATATTTACTTAATGGGACAAAGAAGAAGAAAAAAGGGCTATGTCCCCCGCCTCAGTTTTCTTTCATAGGTTCACCATCGAAAAGGAAGGAATGAAAAATGATACAAAAATAATTCATGTTACTTTCATTTTTCAAATATCCAACAGTTACGATTCATGTTCAGCACATTTTATCATAGATGAACAAAAATGCCATATTCTGTACCCAACCACATGTTGAAATGCATGCCAGAAACTAATGGTACATTTGTGAATTAAAACCAGGAACGTATTGGACCATCTACAAGTGAATGTTGATAAGGTTTAATCTAACAGATATTACTTTTTTATATTTCTATATCTAAGGCAGGCCCAGCACATATGTTAATAAATTACCATATAAGTATAATGACAACTTACAGAAACATCCACAGCCAACCTTACATCCCGGACATCGACAGTTGTTAGTACAGCAGTCGGTACCAGTACAGCCACATTTACCGCCTGGACACTTGGCACAGAACACGGCTGTGTCGAGTAAGGAAAATAAAATTCGTTCATTAACTATATTGAGATTAAATGAAAAGCAACGTACATTTTATGTCTCATTATGTTCTCATAGAAATACCTTTATAGAAGTTTATTAATAAACGAAAATAAGATAATTGCAAACCAGTCAGATAAATTCAGCAATTGTGAAAAAGTCAAGATCGTGGTTGTTCATAATCATTTTTCAGAAGTCAATGTGTCCGAAATTGAAAGAATTACATTGCACCACCCACCTTCGGTTGCAGACATCTTGTCTTGTTTATCTTGATACCTTCTAGGAACGGTTAGAGCAATCGGTTGTCAGTGTGAAAATATGAATCTTTTTATACAAAACTTTATCAATACGTGTGCAAAACATCTTCGTGTGCATAACACAGGATCAATGTGAATAGGTAATGCTTAGTATAAAAACTATGGGAATTTGTGATTAGGGCCGTGTGCATAAAACTCGATTACAAGTTGAGACTTTGCGCCCGACATATTGTTGATTACTTTTATCAGTAATATAAATATGCACCCTGTCTCTCGTTACCGAGATTGTGCATATTAATAACATGGGAATCACATCAGACTTGTTGTCTTCCGTAAAGTGTTGTTTACAGTGTTACCAAAAGGTTCTAGAAATGATAAGCTATATATCAATAGGAAAAGAATAAATAGTAAATAAAAAGTATATATTATACTAATATAGTATAAGTACATATATGTAACATTGTTTTAATATAACTAACACATTCTTTACTGAGCGTACAAAAATATACTGTGATCATCAACACAAATGTACTGTTTGCGTACTATTTTTAACATTAATATGTTCGTCCAACATCTTCAGCACCTTTTAGAGAACCGAGGTTTGACGTGTTGTAAAATGACGTTATATTTTGCCTTATGTTAGCATTACTCGAATTCAAAAAGATTTTAATAAGATCCAAAATACTTCTAATTTTATATAATAACGTGTAATTCCTGATTTATGAAGGATCATTAAAACGGTATTGTCGTTTTCATGGAAGGTTATAGATCAATAAAGACCGTGTGCAGAGATGACAAAGATAGATCATGTGCAGATGATTTAGAACCGTGTGCAGGGATCTATGTATAGATTTGTGTGCTTAAAAATGATTTCAAACCAAGAACTTAATTGTTTAATTACTTATGCTGATATATTTAATGTTTTGTTGTTTGTCCCAGAGATTCAATTCTGTCCTGTTACCATAAACTTTACTGGGCCATTTAATACCATATTGTCAAGCTGACTATACTTATCCAGAACCCCTCCATACACAATCTTTTGATGTAACTTTTGTAAAGATTCGTAGGGATTGACACTTATGTATAATTTTGAAGTTCTGTTTTGTTACCTACGTTTCCGGAACAAAACTAGAATTTGAGAGAACCTTATGACTTGATTTGCAAACCCAAATCAAACTGTTTAAAACTGTAAAATTACTATTGACCTCACATTTGTTTCTCTTTATGGTTACTTTTAAAATAGTGACGAGAAAAAAGAGAGAGAGAAAGTGTCTGTAGCAGTGACTTTTGCTTTAATATTACCATTCTAAACATCATTATTAATCTTACCAACCTTAAAAAATAAAAAAAAATATATATGATATATAGGGTCTGCCATATTTCTGTCTTTTGTTGTATTTTGCTCTTTCTTCAAATAAACTAAAATGATAACAGCTCAAAAATATCATTTCTTAACATTACACAATATGCAAAACCCTTTTTGTTTTTTGCAATTTTGGAAATAAGTGATACTTTGTCTTCTATATCATTATGATTGCTATTTGTTTCAGGCACTGCTTGAAAGATGCTAACAAATTGTTTTAGTTCAATGAAGATTTAATAAGACACAATGCTATTGAGTAACAGTATAGAAACAGCATATGTTAATTTTTTTATTTTTATCGTCTTATTCACAAGTTCACGATTTCCGTGCAAGATGTGGTCAGCTGACAGACAATTAACAACACAGGGTATCGAGAGATGCAGATTAATGAAGAACTGGGGGGATGTTACGTTCGTGATAATGCCCCATTGTAAAATATTTTGTTTCCTTGTGCGATATGAAGCTTGCAGTGTCTGATGCCAGGTGGTTCAAGTTTTGTTTACCTTTGGGAACAAGAAATGACTTATCTTACTAAACCCCTGGTCTTATACTTTTCCAGGAGTCTCAGTGACAATAATTTTTTTGTGTCCTGATATCTTCCCAGTTTGATCAATTTCGCTTTCGAATTACGATTAGGTGGATGTGTCAATATTTTATATTGTGCAGTTTATCATTTGACTATACTGTATCTTGTTCTTAAATTATTGAATAATGTTGATAATTTTTGTATCTTTTGTTTTATCTTCGATATTGAAAATACTATAAATAGTACCAATTCATGCATTTAGGGGCAAATTAAAATAAGTAAATATTGTTTATAAAAAGTAACAGTGCAGAGTTTCTCTTTCAATTGTTTTGCCAAACTTCGCTCAGCAGCTTGTTCTGAGCTATATTTTATTGTACGTTTTAAGCAATTTTCCCATCCTGTTACGATGTACATGTAGCATGCAAAACCTCATATCTGAGTAATTATTGTACGGGTTTTCGATAATAAGGTCAAACAAGTGAATAGCACTAAACAATTAATTGATATTAAGGGCCTAGTTGGTGGTCGGGTGGCGCAGTGGTAACGCACTCGCCTTTCACGTCGCCGACCGGGGTTCAATTCCCGGACGTGAAAAGGTAAGGGGTCACCTGCCCGACCACTTGGGTACTCCGGTTTTCTCCCACAATAAGACCCCTCGCGCGCTTACATCCGGGCCAACAAGAGTGATTAGTATAAGTTGACATCACTTGTTTCGCAATTGTTGTAAAATAATTCAGCCTAGGAGGGGTAATTGAAAGAAATATAAAAATCTAGGATATTTCAGTAAATTTTGTAAAAGTTGTATAATCAATCATTTTAAATGAAATTGTAAATGTTTTATTATAATGTTTTCTCGTGTTACTACAAGTATCAAAAGTCTTCATAGGAATATTCTGGTCTCAGCCTATTCTATTTCAAATATATATATATATCTGTAATTTGTAATATTTGTTCATACTGTTCTTATTAATTTATTGATCATTTCTATATCTAAATGTTTGATTGTCTTTAATATCCTCCTGTTTACTTTGACCCTAATAACAAGTCCTAAAGCAGAAAGTCTGTATGATGTAGTTTAATTTTGGCCACACTGTATCAACTTTGAAGTTATATTGAAAAATGATATCAACCTGTGTGTCTTTTGTACATTCTTATCATGATTTGTTTTTTGCTGCAGGTAGAGATGTGTAAAACATAAATCAACATCAGCATGAAAAAAAAGAACAAAAAAAAAAAAAAAAAAAACTAAACTAAAAAACAAAGAATTAACTACTATGAATTAATTGGTGCTTCATCGAATGCTCCTCATCTGACAACAGATTACATTTGTAATAAATACCTATCAGATATCTGGTTTGATTAATTATTCTCACGTATCATCAATAATTGATGAGCATTCCACAATGTTTGTATCCATTTATATATGTATATTTAGTGAAGGTGTGTATGTTAAAGTCTTTTAATAACTTAGTTAATTCCTTAATAATACAGAAGTTGTAAAATGACATAAGGAATTATATGTTTATGTTGTAATTCAGATTGAAAATATACACACCTCAAAAACCATAGTTGATAAATAACGAAAGACAAATTAAAAGTGAAACATTTAATTTTTTTTTTCATTGTTTCTGAAAAAGAGAACAACCCATCAGCAGAGTAACAGGATTTTAACGATAATCTGCTTATAAAGTATCTAAATAATAAGAAATGAACTTCAATGTCAGTAAGTATGACGTCTAACAACAGAAGATCAGTCCATTGCATATAACTTGTAGGTTTTAGGCAAAACGTCTTCGCTTACTGCTTGCACGTGCAATCAGTAGCACACTTGCAGTTTGTGGGTCCAGTACAGCCCACACCGCACGTACAGGCCCCTGAAATAAGATATAAATTGTTTCAATTCAGATTATGTTTTCCATTAAATGTTACTGTGCATTTCCGTTGATAATTTGTTCATGGAGAAAACTGACATTTTAATTATCCCGGGTATGTAGCACAGTATATCATCAAAAGACAAGTGCTTTCACTATATGATCGTTTTTGTGTTTTTTAAAAACACATACGTTAGTAAAAAAAAATCGAAAAATATGAAAATTAAGAAAGCAAGATCCACAAATAAGATGAGAATAAAAAAATGTAAAAAACACATTACAAAACGTTTCATATAATTGACAAATTTACCCGAATGCAACCTTCTTTTTGTTATATTTTCATTAAATTATTCACATATTCTACGATAGCTTCAATCATGTTTTGTTAGATATATTACTATGTAATAATTCAGGAACTTACCAGATGCACAGTTGCATTTGCACTTCGGACATGCGCATTTGCCGTTGCACTTACATGCGCTGGTACCGCAACATTTTCCTGACTGGCAGTCGTCGGAACACACGAAGTTAGCACCTGAGAGAAAAGGAAAATTTACATCAACGACAGGTAAATAAACAGCTGTGTCGCTTTTAGTAAGTTATTTCTATTATCGTCAATAAGATGTGAAAAATAACCACTTTGTTACAGAAATTTCTGGTGTAAATTGTTCGCGATATAAAAAAGATTATTACTACACAGTCAAACCTCTCTTAGTATCTATCTTCATACAATGGTCACCTGTCTATACAGGTCACCTTTTGGTTCCCTAGCTAATATACAGTTCATAGAAATTGATATATAAATTCCACATGTGCTTAACGCCACTTTTCCCTACTCCCTTGTGTGGCCTTTAAAGACAGGTTTGACTGTAATAACTAACTTAACCACCTTGCATATAATTATAATTCAGACATCATTAACATGGATTACCTGCACATTTACATCCGGCATTACAATTAGGGCATTGGCATGCGTCACTGCATTTACACGAGTCTCCACAACTGCATGCTACCCCCATCTGGCAAATTCCATCAGGACAAGTAGCATTCTTTGCAGCTAGAAATGAAATATACGGCATAAAAATATTGAACTACAATGTAAAATATTTCTTCAATTCTATATTTGCATAACTTTTGGACTCTAAGTGTGATATTACATTGTAATTAATGACGTCACATCAGTAAAGTGGAGGATAGAATCATTACGAAACTGACCAGGTAGACCTTTCAAAAAAAGAATTAATCGGTAATCAATAATCATGTTTTGAAATCTTAGAATCTACAATGCTGTTATCTTAAGATTTGTCAAAAGACGATAAATATTATATTTACTTAATGGGACAAAGAAGAAGAAAAAAGGGCTATGTCCCCCGCCTCAGTTTTCTTTCATAGGTTCACCATCGAAAAGGAAGGAATGAAAAATGATACAAAAATAATTCATGTTACTTTCATTTTTCAAATATCCAACAGTTACGATTCATGTTCAGCACATTTTATCATAGATGAACAAAAATGCCATATTCTGTACCCAACCACATGTTGAAATGCATGCCAGAAACTAATGGTACATTTGTGAATTAAAACCAGGAACGTATTGGACCATCTACAAGTGAATGTTGATAAGGTTTAATCTAACAGATATTACTTTTTTTTATATTTCTATATCTAAGGCAGGCCCAGCACATATGTTAATAAATTACCATATAAGTATAATGACAACTTACAGAAACATCCACAGCCAACCTTACATCCCGGACATCGACAGTTGTTAGTACAGCAGTCGGTACCAGTACAGCCACATTTACCGCCTGGACACTTGGCACAGAACACGGCTGTGTCGAGTAAGGAAAATAAAATTCGTTCATTAACTATATTGAGATTAAATGAAAAGCAACGTACATTTTATGTCTCATTATGTTCTCATAGAAATACCTTTATAGAAGTTTATTAATAAACGAAAATAAGATAATTGCAAACCAGTTAGATAAATTCAGCAATTGTGAAAAAGTCAAGATCGTGGTTGTGCATAATCATTTTTCAGAAGTCAATGTGTCCGAAATTGAAAGAATTACATTGTACCACCCACCTTCGGTTGCAGACATCTTGTCTTGTTTATCTTGATACCTTCTAGGAACGGTTAGAGCAAACGGTTGTCCGTGTGAAAATATGAATCTTTTTATACAAAACTTTATCAATACGTGTGCAAAACATCTTCGTGTGCATAACACAGGATCAATGTGAATAGGTAATGCTTAGTATAAAAACTATGGGAATTTGTGATTAGGGCCGTGTGCATAAAACTCGATTACAAGTTGAGACTTTGCGCCCGACATATTGTTGATTACTTTTATCAGTAATATAAATATGCACCCTGTCTCTCGTTACCGAGATTGTGCATATTAATAACATGGGAATCACATCAGACTTGTTGTCTTCCGTAAAGTGTTGTTTACAGTGTTACCAAAAGGTTCTAGAAAAGATAAGCTATATATTAATAGGAAAAGAATAAATAGTAAATAAAAGTATATATTATACTAATATTGTATAAGTACATATATGTAACATTGTTTTAATATAACTAACACATTCTTTACTGAGCGTACAAAAATATACTGTGATCATCAACACAAATGTACTGTTTGCGTACTATTTTTAACATTAATATGTTCGTCCAACATCTTCAACACCTTTTAGAGAACCGAGGTTTGACGTGTTGTAAAATGACGTTATATTTTGCCTTATGTTAGCATTACTCGAATTCAAAAAGATTTTAATAAGATCCAAAATACTTCTAATTTTATATAATAACGTGTAATTCCTGATTTATGAAGGATCATTAAAACGGTATTGTCGTTTTCATGGAAGGTTATAGATCAATAAAGACCGTGTGCAGAGATGACAAAGATAGATCATGTGCAGATGATTTAGAACCGTGTGCAGGGATCTATGTATAGATTTGTGTGCTTAAAAATGATTTCAAACCAAGAACTTAATTGTTTAATTACTTATGCTGATATATTTAATGTTTTGTTGTTTGTCCCAGAGATTCAATTCTGTCCTGTTACCATAAACTTTACTGGGCCATTTAATACCATATTGTCAAGCTGACTATACTTATCCAGAACCCCTCCATACACAATCGTTTGATGTAACTTTTGTAAAGATTGGTAGGGATTGACACTTATGTATAATTTTGAAATTCTGTTTTGTTACCTACGTTTCCGGAACAAAACTAGAATTTGAGAGAACCTTATGACTTGATTTGCAAACCCAAATCAAACTGTTTAAAACTGTAAAATTACTATTGACCTCACATTTGTTTCTCTTTATGGTTACTTTTAAAATAGTGACGAGAAAAAAGAGAGAGAGAAAGTGTCTGTAGCTGTGACTTTTGCTTTAATATTACCATTCTAAACATCATTATTAATCTTATCAACCTTAAAAAATAAAAAATATATATATGATATATAGGGTCTGCCATATTTCTGTCTTTTGTTGTATTTTGCTCTTTCTTCAAATAAACTAAAATGATAACAGCTCAAAAATATCATTTCTTAACATTACACAATATGCAAAACCCTTTTTGTTTTTTGCAATTTTGGAAATAAGTGATACTTTGTCTTCTATATCATTATGATTGCTATTTGTTTCAGGCACTGCTTGAAAGATGCTAACAAATTGTTTTAGTTCAATGAAGATTTAATAAGACACAATGCTATTGAGTAACAGTATAGAAACAGCATATGTTAATTTTTTTTATTTTTATCGTCTTATTCACAAGTTCACGATTTCCGTGCAAGATGTGGTCAGCTGACAGACAATTAACAACACAGGGTTTCGAGAGATGCAGATTAATGAAGAACTGGGGGGATGTTACGTTCGTGATAATGCCCCATTGTAAAATATTTTGTTTCCTTGTGCGATATGAAGCTTGCAGTGTCTGATGCCAGGTGGTTCAAGTTTTGTTTACCTTTGGGAACAAGAAATGACTTATCTTACTAAACCCCTGGTTTTATACTTTTCCAGGAGTCTCAGTGACAATAATTTTTTTGTGTCCTGATATCTTCCCAGTTTGATCAATTTCGCTTTCGAATTACGATTAGGTGGATGTGTCAATATTTTATATTGTGCAGTTTATCATTTGACTATACTGTATCTTGTTCTTAAATTATACTGAATAATGTTGATAATTTTTGTATCTTTTGTATTATCTTCGATATTGAAAATACTATAAATAGTACCAATTCATGCATTTAGGGACAAATTAAAATAAGTAAATATTGTTTATAAAAAGTAACAGTGCAGAGTTTCTCTTTCAATTGTTTTGCCAAACTTCGCTCAGCAGCTTGTTCTGAGCTATATTTTATTGTACGTTTTAAGCAATTTTCCCATCCTGTTACGATGTACATGTAGCATGCAAAACCTCATATCTGAGTAATTATTGTACGGGTTTTCGATAATAAGGTCAAACAAGTGAATAGCACTAAACAATTAATTGATATTAAGGGCCTAGTTGGTTGTCGGGTGGCGCAGTGGTAACGCACTCGCCTTTCACGTCGCCGACCGGGGTTCAATTCCCGGACGTGAAAAGGTAAGGGGTCACCTGCCCGACCACTTGGGTACTCCGGTTTTCTCCCACAATAAGACCCCTCGCGCGCTTACATCCGGGCCAACAAGAGTGATTAGTATAAGTTGACATCACTTGTTTCGCAATTGTTGTAAAATAATTCAGCCTAGGAGGGGTAATTGAAAGAAATATAAAAATCTAGGATAGTTCAGTAAATTTTGTAAAAGTTGTATAATCAATCATTTTAAATGAAATTGTAAATGTTTTATTATAATGTTTTCTCGTGTTACTACAAGTATCAAAAGTCTTCATAGGAATATTCTGGTCTCAGCCTATTCTATTTATAATATATATATATATGGAATTTGTAATATTTGTTCATACTGTTCTTATTAATTTATTGATCATTTCTATATCTAAATGTTTGATTGTCTTTAATATCCTCCTGTTTACTTTGACCCTAATAACAAGTCCTAAAGCAGAAAGTCTGTATGATGTAGTTTAATTTTGGCCACACTGTATCAACTTTGAAGTTATATTGAAAAATGATATCAACCTGTGTGTCTTTTGTACATTCTTATCATGATTTGTTTTTTGCTGCAGGTAGAGATGTGTAAAACATAAATCAACATCAGCATGAAAAAAAAAGAACAAAACAAAAAAAACTAAACTAAAAAACAAAGAATTAACTACTATGAATTAATTGGTGCTTCATCGAATGCTCCTCATCTGACAACAGATTACATTTGTAATAAATACCTATCAGATATCTGGTTTGATTAATTATTCTCACGTATCATCAATAATTGATGAGCATTCCACAATGTTTGTATCCATTTATATATGTATATTTAGTGAAGGTGTGTATGTTAAAGTCTTTTAATAACTTAGTTAATTCCTTAATAATACAGAAGTTGTAAAATGACATAAGGAATTATATGTTTATGTTGTAATTAAGATTGAAAATATACACACCTCAAAAACCATAGTTGATAAATAACGAAAGACAAATTAAAAGTGAAACATTTAATTTTTTTTTTCATTGTTTCTGAAAAAGAGAACAACCCATCAGCAGAGTAACAGGATTTTAACGATAATCTGCTTATAAAGTATCTAAATAATAAGAAATGAACTTCAATGTCAGTAAGTATGACATCTAACAACAGAAGATCAGTCCATTGCATATAACTTGTAGGTTTTAGGCAAAACGTCTTCGCTTACTGCTTGCACGTGCAATCAGTAGCACACTTGCAGTTTGTGGGTCCAGTACAGCCCACACCGCACGTACAGGCCCCTGAAATAAGATATAAATTGTTTCAATTCAGATTATGTTTTCCATTAAATGTTACTGTGTATTTCCGTTGATAATTTGTTCATGGAGAAAACTGACATTTTAATTATCCATAGCATAAATATGTTTTTATAAGGTTACCCGGGTATGTAGCACAGTATATCATCAAAAGACAAGTGCTTTCACTATATGATCGTTTTTGTGTTTTTTAAAAACACATACGTTAGTAAAAAAAAAATCGAAAAATATGAAAATTAAGAAAGCAAGATCCACAAATAAGATGAGAATAAAAAAATGTAAAAAACACATTACAATACGTTTCATATAATTGACAAATTTACCCGAAATACAGTTAAGTGCAACCTTTTTTTGTTATATTTTCATTAAATTATTCACATATTCTACGATAGCTTCAATCATGTTTTGTTAGATATATTACTATGTAATAATTCAGGAACTTACCAGATGCACAGTTGCATTTGCACTTCGGACATGCGCATTTGCCGTTGCACTTACATGCGCTGGTACCGCAACATTTTCCTGACTGGCAGTCGTCGGAACACACGAAGTTAGCACCTGAGAGAAAAGGAAAATTTACATCAACGACAGGTAAATAAACAGCTGTGTCGCTTTTAGTAAGTTATTTCTATTATCGTCAATAAGATGTGAAAAATAACCACTTTGTTACAGAAATTTCTGGTGTAAATTGTTCGCGATATAAAAAAGATTATTACTACACAGTCAAACCTCTCTTAGTATCTATCTTCATACAATGGTCACCTGTCTATACAGGTCACCTTTTGGTTCCCTAGCTAATATACAGTTCATAGAAATTGAACCTATATATAAATTCCACATGTGCTTAACGCCACTTTTCCCTACTCCCTTGTGTGGCCTTTAAAGACAGGTTTGACTGTAATAACTAACTTAACCACCTTGCATATAATTATAATTCAGACATCATTAACATGGATTACCTGCACATTTACATCCGGCATTACAATTAGGGCATTGGCATGCGTCACTGCATTTACACGAGTCTCCACAACTGCATGCTACCCCCATCTGGCAAATTCCATCAGGACAAGTAGCATTCTTTGCAGCTAGAAATGAAATATACGGCATAAAAATATTGAACTACAATGTAAAATATTTCTTCAATTCTATATTTGCATAACTTTTGGACTCTAAGTGTGATATTACATTGTAATTAATGACGTCACATCAGTAAAGTGGAGGATAGAATCATTACGAAACTGACCAGGTAGACCTTTCAAAAAAAGAATTAATCGGTAATCAATAATCATGTTTTGAAATCTTAGGATCTACAATGCTGTTATCTTAAGATTTGTCAAAAAACGATAAATATTATATTTACTTAATGGGACAAAGAAGAAGAAAAAAGGGCTATGTCCCCCGCCTCAGTTTTCTTTCATAGGTTCACCATCGAAAAGGAAGGAATGAAAAATGATACAAAAATAATTCATGTTACTTTCATTTTTCAAATATCCAACAGTTACGATTCATGTTCAGCACATTTTATCATAGATGAACAAAAATGCCATATTCTGTACCCAACCACATGTTGAAATGCATGCCAGAAACTAATGGTACATTTGTGAATTAAAACCAGGAACGTATTGGACCATCTACAAGTGAATGTTGATAAGGTTTAATCTAACAGATATTACTTTTTTTATATTTCTATATCTAAGGCAGGCCCAGCACATATGTTAATAAATTACCATATAAGTATAATGACAACTTACAGAAACATCCACAGCCAACCTTACATCCCGGACATCGACAGTTGTTAGTACAGCAGTCGGTACCAGTACAGCCACATTTACCGCCTGGACACTTGGCACAGAACACGGCTGTGTCGAGTAAGGAAAATAAAATTCGTTCATTAACTATATTGAGATTAAATGAAAAGCAACGTACATTTTTATGTCTCATTATGTTCTCATAGAAATACCTTTATAGAAGTTTATTAATAAACGAAAATAAGATAATTGCAAACCAGTTAGATAAATTCAGCAAGTGTGAAAAAGTCAAGATCGTGGTTGTTCATAATCATTTTTCAGAAGTCAATATGTCCGAAATTGAAAGAATTACATTGTACCACCCACCTTCGGTTGCAGACATCTTGTCTTGTTTATCTTGATACCTTCTAGGAACTGTGAGAGCAATCGGTTGTCAGTGTGAAAATATGAATCTTTTTATACAAAACTTTATCAATACGTGTGCAAAACATCTTCGTGTGCATAACACAGGGTCAATGTGAATAGGTAATGCTTAGTGTAAAAACTATGGGAATTTGTGATTAGGGCCGTGTGCATAAAACTCGAGACTTTGCGCCCGACATATTGTTGATTACTTTTATCAGCAATTTAAATATGCATCCTGTCTCACGTTACCGAGATTGTGCATATTAATAACATGGGAATCACATTAGACTTGCTGTCTTCCGTAAAGTGTTGTTTACAGTGTTACCAAAAGGTTCTAGAAAAGATAAACTATATATTAATAGGAAAAGAATAAATAGTAAACAAAAAGTACATATTAAACTAATATAGTATAAGTACATATATGTAACATTGTTTTAGTATAACTAACACATTCTTTACTGAGCGTATAAAAATATACTATGATCATCAACACAAATGTACTGTTTGCGTACTAATATTAATTATTAACATCAATGTGCTCGTCCAACATCTCCAGCACCTTTTAGAGAACCGAGGTTTGACGTGTTGTAAAATGACGTTATATTTTGCCTTATGTTAGCATTACTCGAATTCAAAAAGATTTTAATAAGATCCAAAATCCCTCTTATTTTATATAATAACGTGTAATTCCTGATTTATGAAGGATCATTAAAACGGGATTGTCGTTTTCATGGAAGGTTACAGTTCAATAAAGTGCAGAGATGACAATGATAGATCGTGTGCAGATGATTTAGAACCGTGTGCAGAGATTTATTTATAGATTCGGTGACGGCGATTTAAATTATAGACCCGTGTGCAATAAGATACTCATTTACGTCCGGTTACTGTGATTTGTAGCTGTATATATGTAAGGTCGTGTGCAGAGGTTTTTTTTTACTTACTAACCATAAAATAAGACTTAGATAAACGACTACTACTAAGTTCTTAATCACACAATATCGATTTGTCTGAATATGAATATGAGCGGGACATCTAAGCAGAATATTAACTGAAGTGCGAGATATTTTGTTATCGTTTACCTTGTGGTGTTCCCTTCGTTTTTATTGGTTGGTAAATAATATGTCATTGAATCAGGAAGTATTTCCAAAGTATATACCCACATGATTATATGTCGATATTTAACATAGAAATTTTCAGCTTTGGACATGAACCTATATAGGATATACTATTTCCCCTTCTATAATGAAGTAATAACATAGACACTAGAGCTATCACCTTATGACTGTGTGTTATACAATTTCTCTATGATATATTTATCTATATACATGTACTATGTTTATTTCATCCCATTTCAGAGGTCATGCGGTACAATATATTTACAAGGACGCCACCCTGACTCCTTTGAGAGCCATTTTCCGAGTGTTTTTTTTTTGTTTTGTTTTTGTAGATAATGCACGTAGCACGTGATATGGCTCTCTTCAATTAAATACATAATTTAAAGGAACGGAACGAGGAACATAAAAAGGCAATTCAGGCAGATCTTAGTAAATGCTAAAGAAGTCCAAAGTTTGTCATTTATTGACACACATACACTTCCTGGTTAAAATACCTTCCTTGTCAACTTTGTACACACCCTCTAGTTCACTGAGCCATCCGATGTTTGACTGTTCCTAACACGCTGACCAGCAACACCTGCACTGCATGCAAGACAGGGAGATATACAGGCATGTATGACATGTACAATATGTTCTGACAATTTTTGTTTCACTTTTATGACAATTTTGTAGTGATTTTAATGATAAAAGCACAAAGTCATAATATTAGATTCGTTAGAAAATATATGTAGCAGTAACGGAGGAAAGACATCGTCTATATCGAGGGCAAAGTAGGAACAAAACATTGGTACAAAGGGACCAACGGCACACATCACCATGACACAATTAACTGCGAGACAGCATATCAAACTTCAACAGTATATACACAGGTTATTACAGGGAAGTGTAAGTAATTAAAAGAATCGGGCAACACACGTAACAAATGTGACACCAGAGCAATATTAGTAAACTAGGAGCAATATCAGTAACCACGGTAACAATACAACAAACGGCAAACAGCATGTACGCAGAGGGCAAAACAGCAACGTCAAAATTATCCATGGCAACAGTGCAACAAACGACAACAGCTGTCACAAAGATGATACCAGGGCCATACATGTAACAAGGAGAGGCAACAACAGTATTCAAGGGCACAGTGCAACAAACGACAACTGATACAAAGATGATATCAGAGTAATACCTGTAACGAAGAGAGGCAACAACAGTATTCCAGGACACAGTGCAACAAACGACAACAGCTGTCACAAAGATGATACCAGGGCAATATCTGTATCTGTCCATTAAGCAGGAAGTTATCCGGGAGACACCAGAGCAACATTAGTAACCAAGAAAATGCAAGATCATTAATTAAGGAGAAAGCAACCAGAAATCCAGTAATGTATTAGACACCACACCACAATCAGAACTCAATAGAACATTACAAAAATGCCAACAGTAGTTACCCAGGGAAAACCAGAGCAACATTCGTGGCCAAGGATGGCAATATAAGGAACCAAGGGAACCATCTAACGAACGACAGCTGTTAAACAAAAAATGCCGAGCTGAAAATTGAGAACACTGACGTCTGTAGAAAATGCGGAGAAAGCGATGATATCGAACTCTTTTTCGTAACATGTAAAACATCTAGCTAATCTTTGATAATCTAGCTATATCGGGTGTGAGTGAAGATATAAAAACTATTTTGCATATAGTGATTGAATTTAGATTGAATTAAGAGGAATATGCTGAAGACAACTTAAGTTTGATTGTCGTGGATTTTTCAATCTTTAACGCCCATTATATGAGTATTAGACATATTCTTTTTCTGTAGTTTGTTTTTACGCATCAATATGAATGTTTTAAACACATTGCTATTTGGAATTTTCATATGCTATCATTTATATGTTTGAAACGTTTTCAATTTACCCATTTTTTAATATATATTTCATATCAACTACCACTTAATATAGTAGTTGGACCCCAAAATGACCCTGGCTTTCGACGCGCCGTACAACAATAACCAAATCAAACCAGATAGTGTACGAATGGAAAAGAGAATATGTCCATGTAAACTCCTCATGTTGGATGGAAAGTCTCTTATGTGAGGTAATGATAGGAACAGTTACTGAACTCGGGGCCCCAACCTTGGTAGTAATTCTTATTTTGGCAGAGAATAAAGTCATTGCAGGCTGAGAAAAAAAATGGAAAACGGCACAATCACATCAATGATATCGGCACAGTCAGATCAATGAGATCGGCACAATCAGATCAGTGAGATCGGCACAGTCAGATCAGTGAGATCGGCACAATCAGATCAGTGAGATCGGCACAATCAGATCAGTGAGATCGGCACAGTCAGATCAATGAGATCGGCACAATTAGATCAGTGAGATCGGCACAATCAGATCAGTGAGATCGGCACAGTCAGATCAATGAGATCGGCACAGTCAGATCAGTGAGATCGGCACAATCAGATCAGTGAGATCGGCACAATCAGATCAATGAGATCGGCACAATCAGATCAGTGAGATCGGCACAATCAGATCAGTGAGATCGGCACAGTCAGATCAGTGAGATCGGCACAGTCAGATCAATGAGATAGGCACAGTCAGATCAGTGAGATCGGCACAATCAGATCAGTGAGATCGGCACAATCAGATCAGTGAGATCGGCACAGTCAGATCAATGAGATAGGCACAGTCAGATCAATCAGATCGGCACAATTAGATCAGTGAGATCGGCACAGTCAGATCAATGAGATCGGCACAATTAGATCAATGAGATCGGCACAGTCGGATCAATGAGGTCGGCACAGTCAGATCAATCAGATCTGCACAGTCAGATCAATGAGATCGGCACAGTCGGAACAATGAGGTCGGCACAGTCAGATCAATCAGATCGGCACAATCAGATCAATGAGGTCGGCACAATCAGATCGGCACAGTCAGATCTATGAGATCGGCACAGTCGGATCAATGAGGTCGGCACAATCAGATCGGCACAATTTGATCAGTGAGATCGGCACAATCAGATCAATGAGATCGGCACAGTCAGATCAATGAGATCGGCACAATTAGATCAATGAGATCGGCACAGTCGGATCAATGAGGTCGGCACAGTCAGATCAATCAGATCGGCACAGTCAGATCAGTGAGATCGGCACAATCAGATCAATGAGATCGACATTATTGATATGGAGATTGGAATTATCGATCAATGAGATCGGCACAGTCAGATCAATGAGATCGGCACAATTAGATCAATGAGATCGGCACAGTCGGATCAATGAGATCGGCACAGTCAGATCAATGAGATCGGCACAATCAGATCAATGAGATCGGCACAGTCGGATCAATGAGATCGGATCAATGAGATCGGCACAATCAGATCAATGAGATCGGCACAGTCAGATCATCGGCACAATCAGATCAGTGAGATCGGCACAATCAGATCAGTGAGATCGGCACAATCAGATCAATGAGATCGGCACAGTCAGATCAATGAGATCGGCACAATCAGATCAGTGAGATCGGCACAATCAGATCAGTGAGATCGGCACAATCAGATCAATGAGATCGGCACAATCAGATCAATGAGATCGGCACAGTCAGATCAGTGAGATCGGCACAATCAGATCAGTGAGATCGGCACAATCAGATCAATGAGATCGGCACAGTCAGATCAATGAGATCGGCACAATCAGATCAGTGAGATCGGCACAATCAGATCAGTGAGATCGGCACAATCAGATCAGTGAGATCGGCACAATCAGATCAATGAGATCGGCACAGTCAGATCAATGAGATCGGCACAATCAGATCAATGAGATCGGCACAGTCAGATCAATGAGATCGGCACAGTCAGATCAGTGAGATCGGCACAATCAGATCAATGAGATCGGCATTATCGATCAAT